GCAGTTGTAGTAGTAGTAGTAGTCGTCGTCGTAGTAGCAGTAGTAGTATTAGCAGAAGTAGTAGCAGTAGTGGTAGTAGTTGTTGCACCAGTAGTACCCGTAGTCGCGGAAGTAGTGGTAGTAATCGTCGTAGCAGTATGAGTATTACTAGTCGTAGAAGTCGTAGCAGTGGCAGCGTTAGCTGGAGTAGTGGCAGCAGCAACAGCCATTGTGGTAGTAGTAGTAGTAGTAGAAGAAGTAGTAGTAGTAGTAGTAGTAGTAGTAGTAGTAGTAGTAGTAGTAGTAGTAGTGTAGGTTGTAGTATCAGCAGCCGTAGAGTAGCAGTAGCAGTAGCGGGGGTAGTAGTAATAGTAGTGGTAGTAGCAGCCGCGGCCGTAGTGGTAACAGTGCTACTGCTGCTACTACGACCACTACGACTACTACTACTACTACTTCTACTATTACGAGTTGTAGCATAGCAATATAATCGGCAGCCGTACTGGTAGGAATGGTTGTAGTGATAGTTGTCGTAGTAGTAGTGGTATTGGTCGCCGCCGTACGCGTAGTAGTAATTGTCGTAATAGAAGAAGTAGTCATAGCCGTAGTGAGTAAGTGAAGGAGGGGGGCAAGTAGAAGTAGTAGCAATAGCAGCAGCAGCTGCAGTCTCAGTAGCAGTAGCAGTTGTAATAGAAGTAGTCGTCGTCGCAGAAATAGTCATAGCAGTAAGGGTGGTAATACGAGTAGAAGTCGTAGTCGTAGTAGTAGTAGTAGCTTCTGTCGTTGTAAAAGAACTGGTAGTAGTTGTCGACGTAGTTAGTTCATTTGGTAGAAGTAGCTGTAGCCGTAGCAGTAGTAGTAGTAGTAGTAGTAGTAGTAGTAGTAGCACAAGAAGTAGTAGCATTCGTCGTAGTAACAACAGCATCAGCTTCCCGAGGATCATGCTCGTCAATACCCGCTGTAGAAGTAGTCGTGGTTGTAGTAGTAGTAGTCCTAGTAGTAGTAGTAGTAGTAGCAGCAGTGAAATTAGTACCAGTAATAGTAGTAGTAGTAGTAGTAACTGTAGTAGTATTAGTCATAGTAATACTAGCATGGGCGGTTGTAGTAGCAGTTGTAGTTCTAGTAGCAGTAGCAGTCGGAATAAGATTAGCAGCAGCAGTTGCCGCTTTAGTAGCAGTAGCGGTTGCAGCCGCAACCGTAGTGGTAGTAGTACGTAGCCATAGTAGTAGTAGCAGAAGTAGCAGACATAGTGGTCGTAGTAGCAGTAATAGCAGTAGTACCAGTAGTAGTTATAGTAGTAATAGTAGTACTGGTATTGGCCGAAGCAGTAGCAGTAGCAGAAGTAGTAGAAGTAGTGATAGTCGTAGCAGGAGTAGAAGTAGAAGTGGAAGTACTACTAGTAGTAGCCGCAGTCGTTGTCGCAGCCGTGGACGTATTCGCAGTAGTAGCAGTACCTGTAGTCAGCAGTAGCCGTAGTGCTGGTAGTAGTAGTATTAGAAGTAATGCTAGCAGTCGTAGTAGTAATAGTTGTAGTTGTAGCCGTAGTAGTATTAGCAGTAGTAGTTGCAGTAGCAGTAGTAGTGGTAGCAGTGGTAGTCTTAGTCGTAGTTGTACTTGTAATCGTAGTACTAGGTATCGCCGTAGTCTTTGTAGCACGAGCAGTCGCAGCAGTTGTAGCAGTAGTAGTTGCAGTAATAGCGTAGCAATAGCCGCCGCCAGCGCTTTAGCAGTAGCAGTAGTAGTAGCACCGATCGTAGTGCCAGTAGTCGTAGTAGTAGCGGGGGTAAAAGTAGTAGAAGTAGTCGTAGGAGTAGTAGTAGTAGTTGCCGTCGTAGTATAGTCGTAGTCGTCGCCGTAGTAATCGTAGTCGGACTCGTAGTCGTATGTGTAGTAGTCGCAGGGGGCTTCGCCGCAGTCGTAGTAGTGGTAGTAACAGTCGCAGTTGTAATAATAAGAGTAACAGCAGTAGCCGTAGCAGTCGCCATCGTAGGGGGTCATGATAGTAGCCGTAGTCGTAGTGTAGTTGTCGTAATCGTCGTAGCCGTCGCGGTCGTAGCAGTAGTAGTAGCAGAAGTGGTAGTAGTGGGGTACTAGCAGTAGAAGGTGTAGTAGTAGTAGTAGTAGTAGTAGTAGTAGTAGTAGGTGGTAGTAGTAGTAGTAGTAGTAGTAGTAGTAGTAGTAGTAGCAATAGTAGTAGTAGTAGTAGTAGTCGTAGTCGTAGTCGTAGTGTAGTAGTAGTAGTAGTAGTAGTAGTAGTAGTAGTAGTAGTAGTAGTAGTAGTAGTAGTAGTCGTAGTCGTAGTCGTAGTCGTCGTAGTCGTAGTCGTAGTCGTAGTCGTAGTAGTAGTAGTAGTAGTAGTAGTAGTCGTAGTAGTAGTCGTAGTCGTAGTAGTAGTAGTAGTAGTAGTAGTAGTAGTAGTAGTAGTCGTAGTCGTAGTAGTAGTAGTAGTAGTAGTAGTCGTCGTAGTAGTAGTAGTAGTAGTAGTAGTAGCAGCAGTAGTAGTAGTAGTAGTAGTAGCAGTAGTGGTCGTCATAGTAGCAGTGGTCGGAGGAGGAGGGGTCGCACTAGTAGTAACAGTCGTATTGTCCGTACCCGTGTTACTCTAGGTAGTCGTAGGTGTTTGAATGTTCTGTTTCCTAGTCGTATTTGTTTCAAGTCAGCATTGTTGTTCTGGTTGTTAACCTTTTTTCCACCTGGCAGGCGTGGGTCGATTGGTTTGAAGAACGTACCTCCTGGCCCGCCCACCCTGCAGACCGCGGCCGCCAGATCCCCAGGTACACCGAGAATCCCTCGAGACTCCCGCATCGCCCGTTCGACAAGCACGACAGAATTTGACACAATGGAGCATAAGACCACACGCCATAACTTAGCATATCACAACATAACGTAACATAGCGTAGCAGTGCGTTACATACCATGCCAGTACAGCGCATAGCACAGCACATCACCACGCAAGTCCGTATTGCATGCCGCGGCACATCATACCATGCCAGAGCGCGGCATTTCATACCGTCACACGGTACTATATATATATATACATATCTATAGATGTATTGAGAGAGTGAGGGGGAGAGAGAGAGAGAGAGAGCAACCATACCATGACAAAGCATATTATGTCATAATACCTCATCAAGACATCACAACATGGCGTGACATAGCGATGCATGGCAGAACCGAGCGCAACCACGCATGCAATGACAGAGCAGAGCATTCCGATCAGAGCAGAGCACCACGCATCATCGCATGACTAAGCAGAACATCGCACCGCATGCTATGATAGAAAGGAGCACACCCAATATAGCATAGCATCACAAATCGGGGCCTTAGAGAGCAGATGCGATCGCATCATAAAACAGACCGTATCATAACACTACATACCAGATCATGTCATGCAACACCGTAACAGGGCATACCACATCATAAACTACCGCATCCTTACATGCCAGGGCGTTGCCTATCAGCAACTCGTACAGCATGACGTGGGACAGCTTAAATTCGCAGGCAATAACACAGCATGGTGAAACGCATCATGCCAAACCGCATCATCGATAATAGCATGACATCGCGCATCCGTACATGGCATAATGGAACAAACGAGGGTAGGCCACATCACTGCCGAACAGAATATGCCAGATCCGATGTGCGAATGCTACCGCGACGGCAGCACTTCGAATACAACGCCATAAACTAGCACACACTGAAGAGGAATAGCATGGCAGACCCGAGCATGCAATAGTGTTGCAAGCAGGGCACAGCGTAACCAGTATACCATGGCCTATGTGTTGCCTTTTATGCTACCGTTACGGCAACGGCTATGATGGTGTAACGTCAAAGACTTTATCATCATACCCTAACGTAGCAAACATAGTACCAAGTAAACAGTATAGCATCACAGATCATAAAATTAGAACAAGACAGAACAGGTGTCTGTGCATGTGCATGTGAATGAGAATATGTATGTGTAGTCATGGGCGTGCGTATGTATGACTGTATATGTGTATACGTTGTACGTATGTCTGGATTACGTATGTACGTATGTATGTCTGTGCGTATGTATGTACGCCTGTATATCTACCAATATGTGTCTATGTATGTATGTCTGTATGTCTATATGTCTGTATGTGTGTTTGTCTGTGTGTCTGTCTGTCCGTCTGTCTGTCTGTCTGTCTGTATGTCTGCATGTCTGGATGTCTGTATGTTTGTACGTCTGTATGGTTGTACGTCTATATGTAAGTCTGTATGTACGTATGGATGGATGGATGGATGCATGTGTATATACTTGTACACGCTGGTATACGAGCACACACACACACACATATACAATTAAATCCTGGGGGACGAGGCCCAGGCGCCAGAAGCCGGGCCCTCGACCCCCCATGGCCTGACCAGAGCGTCCCAGGGCGTTCCAGACGGCCTCAGAAGGGCCCCAGCAAGCCAGGAAGCTTCAAGATGGCCCAGGATAGCGCCGAGACAGCCTGAGATGGCATCAAGATGGCACTCGAGGCTGCCACGACGGCATAAGATGGCCCCAAGGCGGCCTCCAAGAGAGTCCCAGAACGCTCTCCAGAGATCCTTCAGAGGCTGTTCAGGACGCCCGCGAGAGGTCAAAATCCTTCAACAACCTACGAAGAAACAATGTTTTGACACATTCGCCGCCTCGGCTCTTGATGGGCCTCCCAGGCCTCCAGACGGCTCCACAATGGCTTCAGATAGCCCCAAAAGCAACCTTAGGAGGCTTCCTTGACTCCTCTAAGAGTCCCCGAGAGGCCCCACGAGGCATTCAAGATGCCCCCACGAAGCCCGATGAAGCTCCCAGGAGGTCCCCAAGAGGCCCCCCAAGAGGCTCCAAAAAGTTGCCCAAGAGGCCCCGAAGAGGCCCCCAGAGACTTCCAAAAGGCCCTAAACAGAGGCCCAAAGAGGGCACGATGCGCTCCCGTAGCCATTTTGGCTCGAGGCCGCCGCAGCCCAGGAGGTCCAGCCTGCCCCTCTGGCACGCCGAGCCGCGGCCGCAACCCGCCCCAGTCGCGGCCAGGGATGGCGCCGCCGTGCAACGGCAGCGACGCGGATGCGCTGCTCGACGCCGAGCACACCACGGCACGGAGCTCGCGCGCCCGCGCGCGCCAGGCCGCCGCCGGCGCGGCGGCGCTGGCGGCCGCGGCGCTGGCGGCCGCCGCGGCGCTGTCGGTGTGCGGCGGCCGCCTGCGGGCGCCCGGGCCCGCGCCGCCAGAGGTCTACCCGGAGAGGGCGAGGTCGCCCCCGCCGAGGCTCCCGCGGTGGGCGCCCGCCGCGGCCTCGGAAGGAGGCGCCTTGGCATCGCTCGGGCTTGTGCATTGTTTTGGGGGGCGAGGACCCTCGAAGAGCACTGTGGGTCACCTTACGAAGAAAAATGCACGCACGAAAGCGACAAATGCACAGGGAATGGACGTCCCAGCGATGGCGAGGCGCAGGCCGCCACATGCTGCAGGGGTCCGGCGAGCGCACCTGCACGACCGTGGTTGGCAGGGAGCTCCTCGGGGAGGCGCTGGGCGGCGCGATGGTCGGCCAGACCGCGGGGCGCTGCCGCGGGCACTGCCTCGAGGAGTCCAGCTGCGGCTGCTACTCGTTCGACCCGAGCCGCAACGGAACTTGCTGGCTCAAGAGGAAGCCTTGCAACGAGCTTCTCGTCTGGACGGAGACTGAGGACATGACGTCAGGAAGCTGCCGCGAGATGCGCCCGCAGGTCTGCACCAGCGTCAAAGGCAAGAACGTCGAGTCGGACGTACTGATCAAGGACGGGGAGCGGACTTTGTTCACAGATTACGACGCTGGTAAGTGCCAAAAGCGTTGCCAAGAAACGGGAGGTTGCAATTGCTACACGTTCGACTCCAGTCGCAATGGCACGTGTTGGCTGAAAACCGGTGTTTGTGACAACTTCTACGAGTCGGAGGAGACAGGGAACATGATAAGCGGTACTTGCCGCGAGGAGCGCCCTGTTCTCGATTGGCCCATGAGCACAAAGCCAGAAGACGGCGGCGGCCTGGCAGCAACAGCGGTCGAGCAGAAGCACTGGTCAGGCCGCCAGATTTGTACCAGTGTGTTGGGGAAAGACATCGCAGACGCCACCGATCTCTCATTCGCAGTGAACTCCACGGCCAGTGCGTGCCAGAGCCGTTGCGCGAGCACGCCAGAGTGCAAGGGCTACAGCTTCGACCCCAGCCGAAACAGCACCTGCTGGCTGAAGAGGGGCCCGTGCCAGGGGGACTTCGTCGAGCGGCCCGAGACGAGCGACATGGTGGCGGGCAGGTGCAGCGAGGGCAGGCCGCTGCTCGACTGGCCGCTGCGCGCCACGAGCAGGAAGCAGGGCCTGCTGGAGAAGTTCCGCGTGACCCAGGGCGCCAGGAAGGACTCGGTCGCCCTGCTCAGCCACCACGGCACCTACGTCACCGCCCAGAGCGACGGCTCCGTCACCGTGGACGGCGACAGCGTGGGCGACTGGGAGTCGTTCGAGGAGGTCTGGCCCGACGACACCCACGTCTCCTTCAGGACATTCCATGGGGGCCTCATCACGGCAACAGTGGACGGGATTGTGTCGGTTGGCGAGTTCCCTTCCAGCCCAGGACAAACGCGCCTACACGACGAGCACGAGGGCTTCTTCGAGCACCTCCTCGAGGAGATTGGTGATGTGGCTGCCAATTCTGAGGACGCCTCGTTCGAGGTAGTTGTCAATTCTGAGGGCGACAGCATCTCCCTGAAGACCTCGTGGGGCAGCTACCTGACATCGGTACGTGTGGGCACGGCCGACGGCGTGGTGATCCGTGGCGATCGCGACACGATCGGCAGCTATGCTTCTTTCATTTTGCGCGCGAAGAACCAGGAGACGAGCTGGCTCGACAATGAGGTGACCCTGCAGTCTTATTTGGGCACCTACGTCGGTGTCAGCGCGGGCGGTAAGGTCGTGGTCAGCGCTCAAGTGGCAAACCTCACAGCGTGCGATGAGTTCAGACTGGTGGACGGGGGTGATGGCACTGTAGCCCTCAAGACTTGCATGGGCACGTTCCTGAGCGCGATGGAGGACGGTTCCGTCACCGCAGACCAAATGAGAGTTGGCGATTGGGAGCATTTTATGATCGAGACTGTCCACACGCAATTCTTCAGCGCCCTGGACCTGCCAGTACGCAAGACTGGGAACCTTACGGGGGGAGGCACGACATCGTCGAAGCTGGACCCGGGCACCGTGTCGTCGCGTGAGCCCCAGTCGGTCGTACTTAAGACCTTCCATGGCGGGTACCTCTTCCCAGTCGAGGAGTCCAAGCGCGTGCAGGAGGACGCAAGCCCTTCAGAGGGCTGGCGCGTAACACAGGCGATGATCTTCACGCAGACGTGCGAGGAAGCGGGGATGATGCCCATCACCGATCAGAGCACGTGCGATGCCGCCGCGAGCAGCATCGGCCCCGCTCACAACAGTTCTGGCGTCGACATCCCCACGGTCACGGATGCTGGGGTCCCAGAGGGGTGCTACACAGTGAACCAGACCCACTTCAAGATGGGCACGAACGCCGACAACCGAGGCATTGGAGTGGTGCACAGAGACGATGGCACGGTACTGAACCCCATCTGCTCCGGGGGTTGCCCGAAGTGCGCGCCTCCGAACCCATCGCCGCCTGCGATGGTGATCCTGTTCTACGAGCGCGACCTGTGCAAGATGAAGTTGCTTGCCGCGTCCCTCACGAAGCACGATCCGAATCTGTTCATCGGCACCATACACCTCGTGTGGCTCTCGAAGCATCCCCCCAGTGACTACATGGGCGACATCGACTCGATCCGAAATGCTGCGGCGGCGTCGCACACTGTACGCTTCCATGACATGTCCTGGATGTTCGGGGCTGGCATGCATGGCTGGCACACGCAGCAGATAGTGAAGCTGAAAGCCTCTGGCCTGGTCGAGGAGGACTACTATGTGGTGATGGATGCCAAGAACGCGCTCATCCGCGACATTCAGCCAGACACATTCATGACGCCTTGCTACCAGGCCAAAGTTTTCGCGGATACGGACTTTGATCATCTGAACGAGGACGCGAAAGGGTGGTACTACAAGTCAGCGGAGGTCCTCGGTGTCGGCATCCCGCCAGGAAGGAAGTGGTCCGCATCGATCACGCCGGTGGTGATGCACACCCAGACGGTGATCAACATGCTGCAGGACATACACGAGAGCCCCAGCCCGCTCTCCCTGTGCAACGGCGCCCTCTGTGGGCACATCGAGTACGGCGCGACTGAGTTCACCCTGTACTACCTCTACGCCGCCACCAAAACGGACGAGAAGTGCATCCACCGGGAGTCCCACCACAACCCAGCGGTTTCCATGTGGCGGGGTTTTCAGGACACGGGAGTGGTCCAGAGGGCGATGGATGATCCCAACGTCCTGATCTTCGGCGCCCAAACCGGTTCTATGCCTGGCGGCGACGCAGGCCAGAAGATCGCGAGCCAATTGCAGAAGCTCTTCGAGGACGCTGGGGTCCATGACCCTGCGAACTATAGTGCCGAAGCTATGGCGGGGTGCGTGGTCGGCTGGGGCTGACCAGTTTCAGTAGTAGTCTGAGGCATTGGCTTCCTCAGTTGAGTGCTTAGTGAGGAGCCGCAGTAGATTGGCATTTTTTGTTTGCGCCCAGGGGAGAGCGCAGTGATCCTCCTTCTCCCCCTCCTCCTCGCCCCTCCCCCCCCTCTGTTCTCCCAGTGCCACCCCCCCCCCGGCCCCCCTTGCGCCGCCTCCGCCTAATGCAGCTCCGCACCCTGGCCCAACCGAGTTGTGTGCCTAAGGTCCAGCCGAGCTTCCAGAGCGACGGCGTAGGGCCCCACGGGGCCAAACCCGCCCCCGTGCCAACGACGCACGGAGGCGTCGAGCGGGCGCCCGCGTGCCTGGGCTGCCCGAGGCACCCTGGCGCCGGCCGCTCGCCCGGCAGCCCTTCTGCTCCGCGGGAGCGAATAGTCTGTGTTGCACGATCGATGGGGCGAGGGCGGCCTGTCAGTGTTGCACGATCCATGGGGCTTCGCCGGAGCTCGGCCCTCGGAGGGCCGAGCTCCGGCGAAGCTGTTCGTGCTCTCCGCTTCCTCCTGGTGGGCCGATGTTCCACCACCGCCACTACCATGGGTAGGAGAGGGAGGAGGAGGAGGAGGAGGAGGAGGAGGAGGAGGAGGAGGAGGAGGAGGAGGAGGAGGGGAAGGAGGAGGACGAGGAGGAGGAGGAGGAGGAGGAGGAGGAGGAGGAGGAACAGGAGGAGGGAGGAGGAGGGGGACCTCCCCATCCTCCCCTCGCCCCCGTCCTACCTATGGTAGTGGTGGTGGAGAACTGGCCCGTCATCTCCTCCTCATCCTCATGGCCTCCCGCCCTCCTCTCGAGGCTGTCGGACGTCGTCTGCCTCAGCCCTGCCCTGTTTGCCGTCTTTGTGCCTAGCCTCTTGGCCCCCTGCAGATGCCTGCGGGAAGCTGGCCCAGTCTCTGGGCCAGTGATTGACACAAGATGTTGAGCTTGCCGTGCCGCGCTCACCGTGTCCCCAGTCGGAACAGGAAGAGGGCACGCTACGCTTCCCAGAACCATCCGAGAGAGGCCTTCACAAACAGCTGATGCCCGGGGACGCGGCCGCGGGGCCCTGGACAGGCGCCCCCCTCCCGTGGCCAGACCAGGCCCCCAGGAGCCGCCCAGCTCTCGCCAAGACAGCGTCTACACGGCTCTCGACTCCGCCGGACGGTCCAGATGGCCCCAAGATGGTTTCAAAGGCACCCAAGAGGCCCCCCAGACGCTTCTGAGACAGCCCCAGAGGGCCTCAGGGAGGCCCCCCAGCGGCTTCCCCGCGGTCCCCAGGAGGCCACAAGTTTTAGATACCGAATGGAAACTCAACGTGTTCGAAGATCTCGCCTGTTCGCTTCCGACGAGCTTCTGAGACCTCTAGAAGGCGCCCCCATGGGCTCGGAGAGCCCCACGAGCAGCCCCGAGAGCGTCCCTCAAATGGCTCCCCAGGGCGTCAGGCGGGCTACGAGCCCACTGGGAGAGCCCAATACGCGCCAAGAAGGCCCACAGGCTCAAAAAAGGCGCCCGCGAGGCCTTCAAAGACGGCCCCCAAAGGCCTCCAGGCATCTTTCCAGAGCTCCCAGGCAGACAAAAAGCTTGGAATTACAATGGAAAAGGCTATGTTTTCGAAGGTCTCCCGTGCTCGCTCCACAGAGCGTCTCTACCTTCTACAAGGCAAGGCCCCCCCACGGTGTCCATGAACCCTACAAGCAGACCCCCTGAGTCCCAAGACAGACAGCCCCAACGGCGTCCAAGAGCCTCTGAAGACAGTTCCGAGAGCGCCCCCGGACGGCTCAGAGAGTCCTCCAACATGGCTCCCCAGGACGTCCGACGGGACACGAACGCCATGGGACAGCCCAAGACGCCCAGCAGAAGGCCCTCAGGCCCAACACAGCCGCCCAGCCGCCTGAAGGCCCTCCAAGAGGCCCTCTAGATGCCCTCATCACGAGCTCTCCATCCCGAGCTGTTGTTTGACGGCCCATGGGGCCCCGGAAGCGACGGAAAACGCACAGGACCCATGTTGTGCCGCCGTCCGCCGCCCGCCATCTGCCGCAGGCTGCCCGGGGGCGCCAGCGGCGCCGGCTTGCCACGGCGCCGTCGTCCGCGCGCGCGTCCCCAGACATCCGCCGATCGGAGCTTTCCTGTGCGCGGCCCCAGAAGTCACGACCGTTTCCCAGGGGCCAGTTCGTCGCCCCGTGTGCATTTTTGGATGGCCCTGGGGACCGTCGGAGATCTAGGATTAGGAGAGGAGGAGGAGGAGGAGGAGGAGGAGGAGGAGGAGGAGGAGGAGGAGGAGGACGAGGACGAGGACGAGGACGAGGAGGAGGAGGAGGAGGAGGAGGACGATGACGAGGAGGAGGAGCAGGAGGAGGAGGAGGAGGAGGAGGAGGAGCCGGAGGGAAAACGAGGAGGACGAGGAAGAAGACGAGAAAGATAAGGGAAGAGAAGAACGAACGAGGCGGATGGAGAAGGGATGAGGAGGACGTGGTGAGGGAGGAGGAGGAGCAGGAGGAGTAGGAGCAGCAGGAGGAGGAGGAGGAGGAGGACCAAGAAGAGGAGGGAGCAGGGGGAGGAGCAGGAGAAGCAGGAGGAGGCCTGAATCGAGGATGCCGGATCGGAAAACCATGCTGTCGGAGATCTGTGCCTCGGCTGCTCGGAAGTGTGACCCCTCGCAGGAGTGACCGCCAGTGCGCGGCTGTTAGGGGGCGCGGGAGGCCTCCGCCCAAAGCACGCAGGCCGTCACCTCCACAGTCGCATACCGCGATCGGCGCGCCGTGCTCCACGGGTCTCTCTTGCCTGGGGCCACTCCTGCGTGCAGTCGATGGGTCGTGCGCCGTCCGTCGCCGTCCACCGCGCCGCCGTCCGCCGCCGGCCACCTGCTCCAGGCTGCTCGGGGGCGCCTGCGGTGCCGGCCTGCCAAGGCGCTACATCTTTCAGGATGGAGGAAGCAGGCACAGGCACACATACAGAGTTCATCCCCCACGACAATATATCGGGAACTGAGGGGGGGAGGGAACAGATTAGTCCCGGGATGTGTGCCGGTTCAGTTGTGTCTCCCCGGGCCCCTCTAATCGTCCGCCGCCGCCGCCCGCATTCCGCGGGCCCGAGGGGCCGAAATCGAGGAAAATCGCCCGGACTCAAAAGTTCGGCATTGACAGAACGCCCACCCAGACAAGTCCACTCGGGATACTCGCGCGAGTTCACTCGGCATTGGCGTTCGAGTGTGCCGCTGCAGTCCTCGGCCGGCTTCTCTATTCGACGTGGGTCTCGCAGGACACATTCGGTTGTTTTCGGACGTCGACTGGCTACTACCCCGCTGGGTTGCACGCGGAATGCGGTGCCCTGCGCACATGGAGTGCCCCAGGCAGCTTTCACTCTAAAAGGCGTTTTGCTAAAGGGGTCCCTGTCCGCCCCCGACATGATCTCCGGGTCTATGTCGGACCCGAAGGTCCTGTGGTCGCAATCTTGTCACAGGCATGGCGCAGAGAGGTGGGTTCGGGTCTCCAGTGGCGCTTCTCTGCAATGCAGCAGTGCTCCTGCAACGTCAGGTCTGACGGGAGGTCTGGGTCGTGCACCGCCCGTCGCCGTCCGCCGCGCCAAAGACTTGCCACAGCGCCATCGTCCGCCGCAGCCGGTGCCCCCCGCCCAGACATCGGACGATCTGATTTTTCTGATGCGCGGCCCCTCCCACCCCGACCTTTCCCCCAGGGCCAGCTTTTCATCCAGGGCTGCGTCTTGCCGGTCCCAGGGCCAGCTTTTCATCCAGGGCTGCGTCTTGCCGGTCCCAGGGCCCAGCGAGGGCCGCAGGAGTCCGAAAAGGGCGAAAACACCCGTCTCTGCTATTGTTCAAGACGTTGGATGCCTGGGCCGCCGTCCACCGCTGCCCGTCGCCCGCCGTCCGTCCGCAGTCCGCCGTCCTCGATTGCCTCGGCATCGCTCGCACGTGCGTATCTTCCCTTCGGCGAGGACCATCGAAGAGCATCTGGACCACCCAGCCAACAAAAATAAGCACACGAAGTCGCAAAGCGCACAGGGGAGCGGACGTCGGAGCGAGGAGGAGTCTCGGCCGCCCGCATCCTGGAAGATTGCCCGGACCGACGAGCCATACCGTCGGAGGCTTGGGCCGTGCGCCGTCTCCGCCGCGGCCCGCCGCGCTGCCCGTCGCCTGCCGTCCGCCCGCCGTCCTCGACGTGGGCCGCGGATCGAAGCGCCCGCCCGCATCGAAACGTCAGGCCCGCCGGAGGTGCTGAGGCTTCGCGAGCTGCGCACGGACCACCACCCCCATAGGCAGCCCCCGCTGGCCTCAGCAGGCCCGCCGAGCAGCCCCGGTTGGCCCAGCAGTTCGGGGCGGTCTCCACGCCTTGGCGCCGCCTCCGGCGGCGCCCTTGGGGCGACCGCCCCCAACTTGCTCGGGGGGCCTGCTGAGGCCGGCAGGGGCCACTTGCTCGGCGGACGCCTGTGGAGGTCCGCCGGGGCTGCCTGGCGGGGATCTGCCCTGTGCGAAGCCCGAGGCCTGACCCGGCGGAGGTTTGGGTCGTGCGCCGTCCGCCGCCGTCCGCCGCGCCGTTCGTCCGCTGGCCACCGGCCGCAGGCTGCTCGGGGGCGCCGGCGGCGCCGGCTCGCCTGCGCACGGCGCCGGCGAGCTGGACGGCGCCGCCACGCCGGTGGGCGCCGCGGGCATGTACGGCGACGCGCAGGCTGCTCGGGTTCAGGGGTCTGGGCCTCCCAGGTGAGCGACGCGGGTTCGGCTGTGCCGACATTGGCGCGTAGGCCGCCCGCGTAAGGCCACACTTCAGCACCCTCTTCTCCACGCGGTGTGCCGCGCTGGCGGCCCGCGTAAGCCGCGGCGCAAGGTCGCTGCGCCATCTCGCGTAAGACCCGTTTGTGTCCGTCGCTCAGATGGGGTTCAGAGTAGATGGGGTCGGAGGGTCGCGCCGCATCGCCGATGCATCGCCGATGCGGCTCGATGTGGAGTCCGATTTCCTCCACGTCGACGTCGCCGATGCATCTGCGATGCGTCGCGACCTTCCAAACCCCATCTGATTGGACACAGGTTGGGAGGCCTCTCTCGGTGGCCCCGTGCCGCCTCGCGTGCGCGAAGGAGTCACGGCGTGACGTTTCTGTTGCCCGTGGGGGGAATGGCGACGGGAGGTCTCCCCTCAGGTCCGGGCTTTGCAATATTTTCGTTCTGGGCGTTTTGGCTGGGCGTCGGGCCCTGGGACCATCACATATCGATCCCGTTCGAAAAATGCATCAGGAAGATGGTGTTCTGGAGCTCCGGTCATGATGTCTGCGATGTTGCAACTTTTTTGCACCGTCGGATCTCACGGCTTGCGTTGCAGATTTGCTCGCGTCACGAAGTCACGGTGGGAGGTTTTGCTATTCTTTGGATCCCGCCGCCGGGGCCCAGGACCGTCCAAAACGAATAGATCCAGATCTCCGACGATATGAATCTTTCCATCCGGCGTTTCTCCCGATTTCGGCCCCTGTTGGCCGTTCTCGGCCCTGCAGAACCATCCAGGATGGATCCGGGGCGAGCAATTGGCCCCGGGGAGGGAGTCGGAAGATTTGGAGCCGCGGGGTGAAATCAGATCGGCGGATGTCAGGGCCCGTGGGGGCAGTCCTGGCGAGAGGTTTCTCACCCAGTTCTAGTGGGTGTCTTTGCTACCCGTTTCTCGGGAGACGGAGAGGCGTCTCGTCGCCGCAGCTGGGTCCGCTTCGGGATTTTTGGGAGGAGGGAGGGGAGAAGGAGGAGGAGGAGGAGGAGGAGGCGGCGGCGGAGGAGCGAGGAGCGAGGAGCGAGGAGCCAGGAGCGAGGAGGAGGACCTGGAGCCGATGTTCGATCCCCGGACCCAGGCCCCTCGTGTCGCGAGGGAGTCACGGCGGAAGGTTCCCGGCGGCGCTCCACCTCCCCGGCCCCCTGCCAGGCCAGGGCCGTCAAAGGACCGCTCGGGATCGAGGATCGGCTGTGAGGCACAGACAGGTCGAGGCTTTGCAGGCGCCCACGCCGTGGCAAAGGGCACGGCGACGGAGATCTGGGGCGGGCGGGCCGCCGCCAGGCCTGGAGGAGCAGGGAGCACGGGTCGAGCGGGCCACGTGCCCAGGGTCTGGCACTGCCAGATCGGTCCGCACCGCACCGGATGGGCACGCTGGTCGACTCACCAGTCGAAGAGATCGTGGCTGGGGGTCTTGGGGCGTCCCAGAGGCCTCTCGTCTCCACGGCCGCGCCTCCACTTCGAGAGATTCTGGGCCAAGCGCTGCCCTGGGCAGGTCAGGGGCTCGACTCTTGAGGAAGGCGGACAAGGAGGCGGAGCAGGAGCAGGGTGCAAAAAGACTGGCTGGACGCGTTCTTCGGTCTCAGCCTCTGGGGGCCCGTGGGCCGCGGAAAGACCAGCTAGGATGGATCACGGGAGGGTCCAAGGACCGATTTTCAGCAAGTTTGGGTTGTTCTGGTCGTAGGAGGAGGAGGAGGAGGAGGAGGAGGAGGAGGAGGAGGAGGAGGAGGAGGAGGAGGAGGAGGAGGAGGAGGAGGAGGGCGAGGGAGGAGAAGGAGGAGCAGCAGGACCGATCTTGCTAATTTCGGAGGAGGCGGAGGAGGAATTTCGGAGGAGGAGGACAGGACCGATCTTGCTAATTTCGGCGGTGGAGGAGGAGGAGGAGGATAACAGGACTGGTCTTGCTAATTTTGGAGGAAGAGGAGGAGGACGAGGACAGGACCGATCTTGCTAATTTCGGAGGAGGAGGAGGAGCACCAGCAGGAGGAGGAGAGGGAGCGGCATCAGCATGCTGAGAGTGAGCTCGGGCAGGCGGAGGAGCAATCGGGCGGACGGCAAGGGGGGGGAGGGGGGGCCAATGTACGTGGGGGGATCGAGGATTTCAAGAAAGTGGCCCTAAAAGGGGCCGTACATGGCATCGAACTTGCCACAGCTGGTCCAACACGCGCACGGACAGTGCGCATTGATTCGCTTCCCGTACATTGCCCCCCGTCAACAAACACTGCCGAAGCAAAAGGATGAGGAGGAGCAAATTGAGGAGGAGGAGGAGGAGGAGGAGGAGGGGGAGGAGGAGAAGGGGAAGGAGGAGTAGCAGTAGGTTGAGAGCGAGCTCGGGCACCGCTTCGACCTGCTCGAGCCGGAGGCGCCGAGGGCGATGCTGGGCGACCTCATCCTCTCCCATCCTCCTTCTCTTCCTTCTCCTTCTCCTCCTCTTCATTATCCTCCTCAGGTTTCTGCTGCTGCGGCTCCTCGTCCTGCTCATGCTCCTCCTCCCCATCATCCTCCTCCGCATCTTGTTTGTCATCTTGCTGATCCTCATCCGCCTGTTCATGTTGCTCATGCTCATTGACCTGATGTTCCTCATCCGTTCATTCGCCTCCCATCGAGAATGAGGAGGGGGAGGATGGCAATGCAATCGTTTGGGGAGGGGTTCACGGTTTCTAGGGTTGTCTGTATTCCTTGTCTTTCTCCTGACCCTTCTCTTAATTATCCTCTTACTCCACCTCGGCATTATCCGATCACTGCTCCTGGTGCTGCTGATCCCGCGCACGCCGCCTCGGACAGTCCGATCCCTGCACTCCAGGAGGACTATGTGCGCTCACGGGTCTGGTCCTGGCCAGGCCTTTAACCCTGGTGGCAGTTTCCCCTTGGTGAGCTTCAAAAGGGCCTTGTGACCCCCACTCTGACTGTTGCTGGGTGGGGCACAGGGGGCACGAAACTTCTTGGAGGCCCGAACCCGCCAACACCCGCACCGCCGACACCAGAGAACCCCGCGACAGATGGCGAGATGGGGTCGGTGGCTGGGATGGAGGGCGGGTCCGTCGCCCTCAGTCAAATCGACACTGTGCACTAATCCCCCACTAGGGCCCCCACTCCCTGAGACAGTGCCACTGGCTGGGCCAGGACATCGGGTGCGGAGCCACCTGGCGCATGACCTCCTGTGGGTCTGCTTCCCACATCTCGAGCAAGAAACTTGAGTCTCGCTGACGTGGGGCCAGTGGGGTGTGTGTGAGAGCAGATGCTGCAGGGCACGTTCGCTCCGCTCGCGTCTGCGAGCTCTCTTACATTCGGCGCTATCTTCAGCTACTGGAAAATGGGTCCACCACAACATTTGGACCGCTGCCAGTCGCCCCCTGCTATGTTCGCTGAGGGTGTCAAGGGCCAACACTCTCTGCGCTAGGTCAGCGGGCACAGCAGCTTGGGCAGCGGCTTAAGTTGCTGTTGCTGATCCTCCTCCTCCTCCTCCTCCCTCCTCCTCCTCCTCCTCCTCCTCCTCCTCCTCCTCCTCCTCCTCCTCCTCCCTCGCTCCTCCTCCTCTCCTCCTCCTCCTCCTCCTCCTCCTCCTCCTCCTCCTCCTCCTCCTCCTCCTCCTCCTCCTCCTCCTCCTCCTCCTCCCCTCCTCCTCCTCCCCCCTCTCCTCCTCCTCCCTCCTCCTCCTCCTCCTCCTCCCCTCCTCCTCCTCCTCCTCCTCCTCACTCCTCCTCCTCCTCCTTCCTCCTCCTCCTCCTCCTCCTCCTCTTCCTCTCCTCCCCCCCCTCCTTCTCCCCCTCCTCCTCCTCCTCCTTCTCCTCCTAACCGTCCTCCCCCTCGTCCTCGAGCTGCCCATACGGCTACGATTAATATTCCTGCTCGTTATCTCCTCCTCTGATCCTCATCATCCCCATGCTCCTTCTCACCATCATCTCTATCCTCGTCGTCCTCATCCCCTTCCTAACCGACATCCCCGACATTCTGGTCCTGATACCCTCGTTCCTGCCCGTTCTTCTCCAGCTTGTCTTCCGTCGTCCCACTTCTCGTTCTCCTCCTCCCCCTCCTCCTCATCCTCCTCCTCCCTCCTCCTCCTCCTCCTCCTCCTCCTCCTCCTCCTTTCTCCTGTCCTGCTCCTCCTCCTCCTCCTCCTCCTCCTCCTCCTCCTCCTCCACCTCCTCCTCCTCCCTCCTCCTCCTCCTCCTCCTCCTCCTCCGTTCCCTTTTCCTTGTTAACGAATACTCCCTGCCGCAACCCCAGACGTCTCAGTGGGGCGAGCCGGGCGTTTCGCTCGAGACTTCTGTCTCAGGAATGCTCTTCTAGCTCAGAGTTCGCAGCAGCGTCACGGGTGGCTGGCGGGTGGCTGTCGAAACGCGGATCTCGCTTCTGCGCCGCGCACATTCAGAGTTAAAAGTGTGCAGCAGCTTCATGGTGGGGGACCCTGTGGTTTTCAAAGTGTGGCTCTCGCCCCATCGCCGCGCAAATGAGCTGTAAAAGTGTGCACAGCAGCTTCGAGGATGGAGGGCGGCTCGTTCTCAACAGGTGGCTATCTTGTCAGCGCCGCGCACACTCGTTTCCAAATTTCTTAAATCACAGATTCAAGGCGTCGTATGGCTCCAGTCCCAGGAGTGGTGTTTTGGCACGATTTGGGATTCTCAGGACGTGACTCACGCTGACTCACGTCCAAATCCCAGGAAAGGTGTTCTGGCCCGATTGGGACTGCCAGGGCGTAGCAGTCACGTCGGCCCGCGGCGTTGGAGTCCCGGGAGTGGTGCTTTGGCACGGTTGAAGCTTCTCAGGCGATTGTCTTCTAATGGGCCATTTCCCGTTGCATTGAACGCAAATTCTTGTGGGGACCTATGAAGAGGGAAGTTCGGAAGTTCGAGGGAGGGTGTATTGCAGCATCGTCATACTGGTCCTTCTCCTCCTCCTCCTCCTCCTCCTCCTCATCATCATCATCATCCTCCTCCTTATCCTCCTCCGCATCCTCCTCCTCCTCCTCCTCCTCATCCTCCTCCTCCTCCTCCTCCTCCCGCCTCCCATCCTCATACTGTTCCTCTGCCTGGTAATCATCATCCTGCCGTTTGCCCTTTCCGCTCCACCCCCATCCTCCCTCCTTGACCCCGCCCCCCCTGCTCGCCCACTCACCCCCGAACCCCCACCTCCCCTCCCCTCCCCTCCCCGTCTAGTGTTTCTGGCTGGCTCCGAGGCGCTGGGAGCGATGTTGCTCGACGTTGAAGGACGGGAGCGGCTTCTGATAGTCGACGTCCGCGGGCGAGACTGGGTCGGCGGGCACATACCTTCGAGCATCAATTTGAGGACCGATTGCTCCTCCACCTCCACGTCCAACTTACTGCACTCCCTCCTCATCCTTCTCCCTCCCGCCTCGAGCATCAGCCTGCTGACACGTTGTTCTGCATCCTTCTATTCTTCCTGTTGCTCCCGTCCCACCTGCAGCATCTGCAGCATCAGGATGAGGACACCCTGGCTGATCAGTATCGTCGTCAACCTCCTTACCTTGTCCCCCCTCTGGCCATGCATCAACCGTTCCCCCCCTCCTGCCCCTCCTCATCATCATGATCCTTCTCACCCCCATTCCCCACACCGCGCGCGTGGCACAGTGCGCAGACGCAGGAAAGGGGGAGGAGGGATGGAGGAAGGGAAGCGGGAGGAGGGAGAGAGGAAGCGAGGGAGGGAGGGAAGGGGGAGAGGAGCAGGACCATACTCATGCAATGCATAATGCAACAGCGATGCTGCAGCTCAACATTCCCAAGTCCCTCCTCACAAGTCTCTATTAAGCATGCCGCGTCACTACGGGGAATGCCCCCTTGAAAGACGAACGCCCCATATGCATGTCACTCAAGCCCCGGTTTGAAAAGTCGCGCATTTCCATACTCCTAGTTGTACGGGGCACCCATGTTCGCAGCTATAAAATTCAGAGACGTGCCCAGCGAAGCCCAGTGCTGAAAAGGAACCGCCCTCCACCTGTGCATTCCGGGCACAGGTTAAGGCTGCTGCCAATGAAATCACGGGAGCCTCTCAAGCGAGGGCTCCATTTTGGCAAGGAGCCGATTTTCACACGTGCAAATGTTGCGCACGTGAGGACTTTGTTGCGTTCGGCTGCCGATCAATCTGAGGAAGTCTCGAGCGCTCGAGGTCCCCACATTGCAAACACAACTCCATCCATTCGCGCAACCGCTGGAAGTGTGATGTTCGAATGTGTGCGGGGCGAACGCGGGAGCCACAGATTGACAACGAGTGTAGTTGTTGCAGGTTTTTAGGACGACTGTGCGCGGCGCTCAGGCGACAGCCATTTTCGAAAAGCATTCGCCATCGACCCGTGTAGCTGGGGAGGCTATCTATCATTCAGTCACATGTGCGCGGCGCTAACGCGAGAACCACATGTTAAACAAAAATCCTTTACGCTTCGCGTATCCCCACAAGCGCCGCCTGATCCGCGGCCCCCGCGCGCGCCCGGCGAATTCGTCACGGCCGCAGCCCGACCGTGACCCGCCGCCGCCGGCGCTTCCGCCTGCGGCTGTAAAAAAAATATCCCCACCAGCTTCTTTCGTGCCCCCCTGGCCATGTCTCTTCGTTTGTTCGGTTTGTCGGCTGGGATATTGGGACGCAGGGCCGCGGGCGCGATTTTTCCACGCTCGTCCTATTGGCGGAGTTGCACTGTTTCGCTCACGGCAGCTGACGGGCGACGATCTGCAGGCCGCATGCGGTTACATGCCGTTGGGCACGTATTTCGTAGACGGCGGGTACCTGGTGCACCTGGGCTTGGACGTTCGCTTCTGGGCTGCGCTGCATTAGTCACCTGTCCTCCTCTCGCCTGGTCGTCGCTCGCGCTCTCTTTCTCTGTTCTGTCCTCTTCCCCGCTTGCCAGCTGTTGTTTAGTCTCTCGCCCTACACGTAGGCCTGGCTCATGTGACTGTCGACTCCGCGCGGCTGTCCGCTAGCGGTCGGTAAGCAAAAACGCATCCCCACCAGCCCGTTCAGAAACCTTGCCCGTGAGACTTGACAGTAGCAGGGGACCAAGAGACACATATAGTGAACAAAAAGAGGGCAGCCAGGGTGTACAGAAAGATCTCTGGTGCAACGGGTGGCCTTGGAGGGTTTCTTCAGGCCATCCCTGGAGCCCGCGTGGGGGCGAGGTAAGGAGGAGGAGGAGGAGGAGGAGGAGGAGGAGGAGGAGGAGGAGGAGGAGGAGGAGGAGGAGGAGGAGGAGGAGGAGGAGGAGGAGGAGGAGGAGGAAGACGACAACGACGACGACGACGACGAAAAGGGCGTCGACACTTGCTGGGGGCCAGGGAAAGCAACCGATAGGCGTCAACGAGCGAGGATCGCATGGGCTGGCAGGGGAGCGGCGGGGCGCGAGGCGCCGAGGAGCCACGCGACCGCGAGACGCCGAGGCCCAGGTCGGGGCACGGGGCCTGGCGCGCAGGGCCCTGATATTCAGAAGCACATGGAAGCACAGTATGCTTTTTGATGCGAGCCTCCCGTCGAAAGCATCAGTTGCCCGCCCGAGTCATGGACGTGCATGAAAGGGGTCCGCACGTCATTGCGCCTGGTCGGATTTGTGAGCAAGTACCGGTGAGTAACTTCTCTCGCGGTCTCGTGTGTTTGCCAAACGGTTGCGGGTGAGCGGGTGGGGCATTTGCTCGAGCATGAGAGGTGGTATCGCGCGAATGCCCACACATGATCCTTTTTCGTCTGAGGAATGAGGCTCTACCCCCGGACATATTGGGCCCCCTCCGCATATCGCTCAACATCCGTATATTTAATTCGAACGATCGTTTATCCTACGTTAAAGATGTAGGCCCACATGGACCCCAAACAGCGCGTTATTGCAATGTGGAGGTGGAGTTACGCGGTGTAAACTTTGTGGTGTGAATTATGGAGGTGAAACGATGCGGTGCCAACTGTGTGGTGCAAGCTGTTTAATGTCAGCTGGGCGGTGCGAACTGGAGGTGGGATATACGTATGGTGTGCAGGTTACGTGATGTAAGGTATGCTGTGTAATCTATGCGGTGTAAGCTACGTGGTGCAAGCTACGTGGCGCAAATTACGTGGCGCAAGCCATGTGCTGAAAACTAGGTCGCGCAGGCTCAGAGCACGGAGCGCCCACGAGGCGGCACGGGCGGCAACGTAGCGCAGCCTCGGCAAACTCCCCAATCGCGGGGCGCCCACGAGGCGGCACGGGGTGCAACGTGGCGAAATACCGGAATGCCCAAAGTGTTCCTTTAGACAATAGCAGCAATGCTCAAGTGGCAAGCAGTGTTTCGGAGTAGCGTGCCAGCCAAACCCGGTTTCGGACCCGCACCCCCCACCCGCGTCAAAGGATTTCATGTGGTGCACATGCATTGATCTAAGAAGTGTTTTGTGCTCGAATCATTTGCTACAGATACCACGCGAGCCACATGCGCTCGCCGCCGCAAATCCGCACAAAACAACAGCCGACTTAAAGGGCATGTCCAAGGCATAGCCATGCAAACACTTTCCAGCCAAAAGGTCGCTGCATTGAAATGCTAGGTTTCTGCGCCCGGGCTCTCGCTGGAACCAAGAGCGAAACATACAAACTTAGCAAATCTGTCAAATAAGAGCATTCGGGCCGCACGCGCGCGCGCCGAAACATTCAACCATCACCGCGCTCCCCTCAGCTCTGCCAAATAATGTCATGTGGGGTGCACGAGCGTGCCTTCACGCGCCAACCTTGAAGTCCTTCCCAAACGAATGGGCTCCTCAGCATGTACATACAGAGCTGGTGAAACAGCACATGAAGGCCCAATGACTCTTCAATACAGAGTGTACCGGACATTCTGAAACTGTTCGCGCGCGCACTTCCGCATCATCCTCATCAGCACCATCGTCATCATCATCGCCCACAGAATCATTAGTATCGTCTTCACCAGCACGATCGACGTTGTCACCATCGCCACCGTCGCCATCATCATTATCGTAAATGGCATCGCCCTCGCCAAATTTCTGCGCGCACACTTCCTCATCATCCTCGCCAGCACCATCGTCATGATCATCGCCAGCGTCATCGTTACCACCGACATTATCATCACCGTCAGCTTCATCACCATCGTTGTCGTCGACGTCACCCCCATCGTCGTCGTGAGCAGTACCATCGTCACCATCATCGTTGTTGTCGTTGCCCTGTTGAGGTTTGCCAACAAGCTGCGGGCGGATGGGTGGGGTGTTGGCACGAGCTTTGGAGTCGACGAATCCAATAACTACTGAAAAGTGAAATCCAATACATGTGTTGGACCTGATAGATTGCACGCCATACGTTGCACAGACTCACTGTGTGGGGCCTACGCACTGGCATCAGCCATAATGAGCAGGGATGGAAAATGAGGGATGGAATAGGAGGGAGGAGGACGAGGAGGAGGAGGAGGAGGAGGAGGAGGAGAGAGAAAAAGGGAGGATGATAAAGAGAAGGAGGAGGAGGAGGAGGAGGAGGAGGAGAAATTGGGAAGATTTCCCCCCACCCGGGCACACACACACACGAGGACTTCCGAGGTCACGACGCACCCCGAGTCCCTCCTTGCGCAGTGCCGACAGAACCGGATCCAGACCGTGATCTTCACCTGCATGTATTCGGTGCTCCGCGCCCGCAAGTGCGCCACCGCCCTGGAGCAGGTGCAGAACGAGGAGGGGGGGCAGCGATGGGGGAGAAGGGGGAGGGAGAGGAGGAGGAGAAAGAGGAAGGGAAGGGGAGGAGGAGGAGGAGGAGGAGGAGGAGGAGGAGGAGGAGAGAGGAGGAGGAGGAGGAGGAGGAGGAGGAGGAGGAGGAGGAGGGAGGAGGAGGAGGGGGAGGAGGAGGAGGAGGAGCAGGGCAGCAACAAACGTCGAGGCACGCTTTTTCGAGCCTGGGCCTTCCCTGCGGGCCCCGGGAGACAGACAGAGAGAGCTTCGCCCGCGGCGCGCAGCCCACGCCGAGGAGGGGGCCGAGAGCTCTGGGAGAGCGCGGGGCCTCGCGCGGGGGACGGCCCCCACGGAGGCAGACCCAGCTGGCCTCCAGGGTGGCCGGCGGCGGCTTGAGCACGCGCCTCTGGCAACGCCCCCGGGAGGAGGAGGAGGAAAGAGAAGGGGAGGAAGGGGGAGGAGGAGGAGAGGAGGAGGGGAGGAGGAGGAGGAGGAGGAGAGGAGGAGGAGGAGGAGAGGAGGAGGAGGAGGAGGAGGAGGAGGAGGAGGAGGAGGAGGAGGAGGAGGAGGAGGAGGAGGAGGGGGGAGGAGGAGGAGGAGGGGAGGAGGAGGAGGAGGGAGGAGGAGGAGGAGGGGGAGGAGGAGAGGAGGGAGGAGGAGGAGGAGGAGGAGGAGGAGGAGGGGAGGAGGTAGGAGGTGGGGGGGGGGAGGAGGAGGAGGAGGAGAGGAGGAGGAGGGAGGAGGAGGAGGAGGAGGAGGAGGAGGAGGAGGAGGGAGGAGGGGAGGGAGGAGGAGGAGAGGAGGAGAGGATGGAGGAGGAGGAGGAGGAGGAGGGAGGGAGGAGGGAGGAGGGAGGGGAGGAAGGGGATCGAGGGTCGAGGAGCGGTGCTGTGTCTGGATGCCTCTGCCCTCGCTGGGCCTTCGGAGGCCTCGGGGCCGACGAGGCCGCCCGCGATGGCCTCGGGAGGTCCGGCGTCGCGAAGAGGCACCGAGGCTGGAGAGGTCACGGCAGGGGGCCACAGGCGAACCCTACCCCTTCCCCCTCCTCCTCCTCCTCCTCCTCCCTCCTCTCCTCCTCCTCCTCCTCCTCCTCCTCCCCTCCTCCTCCTCCTCCTCCTCCTCCTCCTCCTCCTCCTCCTCCGTCTCCTCCTCCTCCTCCTCCCTCCTCCTCTCCTCCTCCTCCTCCTCCTCCTCCTCCTCCTCCTCACACCTCCCTCACGCTCGGGAGCTCCCGAACGAAATGAACCCCAGCCCTCCCCCTCAGAAATCGTGGGGTGGGGGGTAGGGGTAGGGTTCGCATGTGGCCCCCTGCACGGGGGGCAGCCCTCGACCCCAGCTTCCTCCTGCACTCTTGCGGGCCGGGTGGATCCGTGGGGGTCCTCGGGGGCCCAGAGCGGGGCGAGAGTGCTTGTCGTGTGTTTACAGGGCAGTTTTTAATGCACAGGATTTTTCAAAATATAGGGTTTGTCATACATGGATTGATTTATGAATAAATGTATGCATGAACTCATCGTTGTTTTTAATCATAAAAAACGGCACTGTACTAAGCGCCCAGATCTCAGGGCACAGATCTCAGGGATTCCGCTTTCGGACAGGGGGGCCCGGTTGACAGCACAGGGTGAGCAGCTCCGGTCCCTGAGGACCAGTCGGGGAGAGTTGTCCCTGGATCCCCCCGATCTCTTCTCCGCCTTCCTGGGTGAATCCGCGATAGAGGTGCCGCCGCGGGTCAGCGCAGGGACTGGCCGAGCCCGAATTACAGGTGCACGCACATCCGCAATGTTATCTTCATGTTCCGGCTGTGTGCTGTCTAAGGCAGGATCCCCGCCGACGCGTACGTCTTGCATGCGGGGGCCCCCGGGTTGCAACAGCCTGCGGCCTGACCTGATTTGACCTTGCCTGACCTGACGGCCGCGCGGGCCAAGCCCCTGGGCCTCGATCCCGCAGATACGAGGCGTTTTTCGCGGATGCCCAGGGCAGAACGTATCTGTGCGACCGCGTACGTATCCGCGGGATCCTGCCCCAGAACCCAGACCGGGAGAGGGTGGGTATGGATACGCTCGCTGTTGGTGATGACCTTCCAGGGTGAGTAATTCTGCAGCGAGGTTCTCAGAGCTCCCGCATTGCTCGACGTCCCTGTTCACCGAACTCTCCCGCTTCACCCGGGGCCGTCGAGGGCAGCCCAGGGCAGCCTCCGCGCAGCCGTCCGCGCCTGGGCCCCGAGCCCCGCCCACCCGAGGCAGCAACGCGGGCGCGCCGGCGTCGTCTGCGTGGCAGCTGACGATAAGGTGCCCCTGGCCCATAGTGTCCCCAGCTCTTCGCGCCGCTTTGGAGCCCCCTGGGCCCTCTGGGCCTCGTGGGGGGTGCTCTGCGGGGCATGGGCGCCCGCCGCGGAGAGCTGGGGTCGCCTTGGGCCAGGGCCACTGCTGGCTTCTGGCAGCACCCGAGTCTTCGTCGCCGCCGTCGCGCACGCCGTCGGCCGCCGGAGGAGCAGAAATCGGGCCACGCGCCGTACCGGCTGCGGGTGTACCTGCTGCGGGGTGGCATGCACGCGTGGGTGAACCATTACGCCGGCGCCCCAGGGTGGCCGTCGATCGCCGATTGTCGCGTGGCAGCGGCCTCCGTCGATCGCTGGAGGAGGAGGAGGAGGAGGAGGAGGAGGAGGAGGAGGAGGAGGAGGAGGAGGAAGAGGAGGAGGAGGAGGAGGAAGAGGAGGAGGGGAGGAGGAGGAGGGGGAGAGGAGGAGGAGGAGGAGGAGGAGGAGGAGGGGGAGGAGGAGGAGGAGGAGGAGGAGGAGGAGGAGGGTGAGGAGGAGGAGGAGGAGGAGGAGGAGGAGGAGGAGGAGGGAGAGGAGGAGGAGGAGCAGGAGGAGGAGGACGAGGAGCGGTCATCTGCCTGGCTGGCGGTGGTGGGGCCGTGTGTTGCTGGCTGCGCCAGGGCAAGGTCACGCTTTGTGGTGCCCCTGAGATGCGGGCCGCGCTCCTCGCGGCCATCGCGGACTGGACCGCTCCGTGGACCGGCGGCGCCGCGCAGGGGGTGGCCCCTCCGGGCCTGGCCGCTCTTGCCGCGCAGCCGCCCCCGGCGCTCGCGCCTGCCGCTGGCGGACCTGCCGGCGCCCGGACGGGCGACACCGCCTCGCGCCCGCCGCGGCGCGACACCGCCGCTCCAAGAGCCGGGCGCGCTGGCCTCCCAATGGGGGCGCGACAAACTGCGACGCAGTGTTGTCGCTGGCCTTCCACGGGGGGCGCGCTGGCCTTCCAGGAGAGCGCTGTCGCTCGCTGGGTTCTTGAAAAGTGCCGCGACGAGCTTCTTGGTGCGCGTGCGCGTGCGCGCGCGTGCGCGTGCGCGTGCGCGTGCGCGCGGGCCATGCAAATGGACATGGGACTCAGGCCCCTTGCTGAGAGGGGCTGGACCCTCACTTGGCAGGCCGTTCGGCGCCGCCTAAACGTGGCCAGCGGTGACGAAACCCTCAGAACCTGGACCATCTGGCACGATCACCCGGATTGTAACGAGGATCTCCCAGCTCGCTTTCCCGCACCCGACTGCCAGGCCCTGGGCCCCGATGGCGTCGCCGCTGCCGCCGAAGCCCTCGAGGCCGCTGCCGCTCAGGAGGCTAGACGCCTCTAACGGATCGGGTGAGCGGATCGAGCGTGCCAAGGTCCAGCCGTGCCCCGCGGCGCTGCCCGCAGCGTGCTGCCTACCCCGAAGGCGCGCTGCCCCTCGTCAACAGTTCTTGCGATGATTATAGTTGCACCCTACCTAGAGACCTAGCGCGACACGACACCATGGCCCTGGAGGTCAGATGGCCTGCACGTCAGACGCCCCTTCCCGCAGGCCCATCCACCGTCCCTGGACAGAAGCACTGCTTCCAATGCAGAAAATGCCCGTGCATGCGTTGGGCTGAGTGTCACAGCCACTGGGATGGCACTGCGAAGTCTGCCAGAAGTTCGCGCACGAGAAGAGCGAGTCGCGCAGCAGATCGACCAAGGCATGCCCGACCCTCAGCAATGGGTCCAAGGCGGAGACCTCTGGACCCTGACGGGCGGCCTTCCTGCCAACGCTATCCCGCGAACTCAGTACCCAGGGTGGCTCGCCCTGACCCAGCTCAGCATCGTGAACGGCGAGATGCAAGAGGAATGGGACTGCGTCGACGGGGACCGGGACTCGGCCCCGCTCTTCTACCCCCACGCGACACCGAAGCTAACCGGCGGACTCCTGCAGGCACAGGGAGGGATATGACGCCGTCCGGGATCCTTTGGCTCGGAGCGGGCACCAAGGATGACTCTCAAGAGCCAGCCCCTCACGAGACGACCCCAGCCGCGCTAGCACGCACGACGGGCCCAGCCATCCGCCAGACTCCCCCCGGTCGCAGCCGCCGCGCCCACCCCCCCGCACGCAGCACGGCAGGGACGCGACGGCACCCCTGCCCCGCCCCCTACGCGCAGTCTGCCCCCCCCTTCCCGGGATGCCCAGGCGGCCACGTGGACACCCACCGAGGTCACGGGTCCAACGGCCGATTGTTCTGCAGATGTCAGCCACGCGCAGAGAGGGGTGGGGGGAGGGGGGAGGGCTTCTTAGAAGCACCCCTGCTTCTCAGAAGGCGCGGCCCTTATCTATAGATGTAAGGCCGGCGCCTTCTAAGAAGCAGCCTCCTTCTAAGAAGCCCCCCCCCCCTCCCCCCACCCCTTTGTGCGCGCCGCCGAAGATGACCCCAGAATTCCCCCCGCCGCGAGGGCAGCGAGAGCCGTCCAAGAAATGTACGCACATCCCTGGCATCGGCCCCCGGCAAGACTCCCCAAGCGACCCACCCGGCCTATACTTGGTGCAGTCGTCCTCCCAGAGAGATGACAATGGGAGGTTCAAGGCAGAGGAGAGAAGCATTTCAGGTTTTCGAGATCGAGCAGTACGCTCGATTCGAGCCTGACGAGGACGGGGCAGCCAGGACCAGGGCGGAGCTGCGAAGTCGACCACCTGCGCGCTAAACTTGGCCATCCAGAGACACAACCCAGGTCGCCCACACAAGCTGGTACTAGATTGGAAGCTCCAGTACCTCCTCAGCGAACACAAGGACGGAGAATGGGAGCATTACATTTTCACCTGGGAGGGCGATCTCCACCTGGACTGAGCCAAGGAAGACCTGGACGTGCTGACCCTCCTGGTCTGGCAGGCTAGGGGATGCTACGCTTGTGGGCTTAGTCGTACCCTTCGCCATCTGGTTTCTCTCTTCACTTCCTCCTCCTGGGCCTCCCTCCTCCTCCTCCCCGGCCACTCGCCCAGGCAATAATTGTGACAGGTAGTTTCTCTTGTTAGCGTCTGTCTTTGGTATGGGGGCCAGAATTTGTCCGCCCAGGCCGGCGCCTCCAGCCAGCAGCAACAGCGTCGTCGCAGCCCATGGGAGCCTCGCGGCGTTTCTCCGTTGTGTGGGTGTATGTCAAGAGGGGAAAAGACACACAGACACAATTAATAGTCGATTCCCTGGAAAAGTTGGGAAATTATGGGAAGTGGGGGGAGACAAAAACCTAGAAAATATAGGGAAATATGGGGGATCCTGTTATTTGTGTGCGTTTATGTGTGTGTTTGTGGGCCCCTTCAGTGTGGCCCTGGCTCCGCGAGCGACAGACACGTTTGTTAGACAGGACAGCTGCGGGAGTGGTCTGCTGCACTCCATGACGTTGCCGAACTCGCTGGCGGCGTGCAAGACGTGGCCCTCGTTCTCGTGGGCGTTGTTGGTTTTGGAAGGGATTTCTCTCAGTTCTGCGTCTTCGAAGTCGGCCTCAGTGTAGATTTGTATGGTTCGCTCTCGGCCACTCCTCCTCCTCCTCCTCCTCCTCCTCCTCCTCCTCCTCCTCCTCCTCCTCCTCCTCCTCCTCCTCCTCCTCCTCCTCCTCCTCCTCCTCCTCCTCCTCCTCCTCCTCCTCCTCCATTCTCGCGGTCGCGGGGGGGGGCTTCGTGGCCATGGCTCTGCGCGGCCTAGAGAATGGATCGGGATCGGGCTCAGAAGGGCATCGGAACCGATATTGCGCAGGTTCTGCCAGGGGGGGAGGTCTTACACTGGGCCATCACAGTGGGTCACTGGATGTTCTAGGGTTTCGATGGAGACGGGGATGGCGGTAAGGGAAGGGAGGGGCGGGATGGCGGAAGAGAATGCAGGATGAGGAGGACGAGAAGGGGAGGATATGGAGTAGGAGGAGGAGGAGGAGGAGGAGGAGGAGGAAGAGAAGGACAAGTCACGGAGGAGAAGGAGGAGGAGGAAGAGGAGCACGGAGGGGAGGGGCAGGAGGGGAAGATGGGAGCAGCCGAGCGGCAGGAGGAGCATGAGGGCGGAGAAGGAGAAGGCAGGAGGACGAAGAAGGCAGGAGGATGAGATGTGGCGCAGGACGAGAAGAAGAAGGAGGAGAAGGAAGTGGAAAGGTAGGAGCAACCAGAGGATGAGAAGGACGGATGAGGAGGAGAGGAGGAGGGAGGAGGAGGAGGAGGAGGAGGAGGAGGGGGAGGGAGGAGGAGGGGGAGGAGGAGGAGGAGGAGGAGGAGGGAGGAGGAGGAGGAGGAGGAGGAGGAGGAGGAGGAGGAGGAGCAGAAGCAGGATAATGATGAGTAGGAGGAAGCAGAAGTACGACGAAGACGAGGAGAAAGAGGAGAAGGAGCAGGAGGAGGAACAGGAGCAGGAGGAGGAGGAGGAGGAGGGAGGAGGAAGGAATTGGAGAAGCAGGGGGAGGAGGTGGCGGGGACGGGAAGGCGGGGACAAGATGGGGATGGGGGGACTGGAGCAGCAGCACAAAGACTTCGAAGGAGGAGAAGCGAGGAGGGGTGAGAGGGAGCAGGAGTGAGAAGGAGCAGGAGTGAGAAGGAGGAGGAGGAGGAGGAGGAGGAGGAGGAGGAGGAGAAGGAGGAAGAAAAGGAGGAGGAGGCGGAGAAGGAGGAATGGGCGCCAGACAACACTGGGCTGCGAAAAGATCACGGCGGACGGTTTTCTGACAGACACGTTTCTTCTTCTGGGGGCCGTTACCGAGCCCTGGGATTGTCAAAAAGCGAACCGAGATGAAAAACTGGCCCTGGGGTGGGGGTCCAGATCTCCAGCCAGGTGGTCCACGCCGGGACGGAATCGAAGTAAACAACGTCGGAATTCCGGGCGGGAGCGCTGTTTTTTCAGCAGCGAGCCCAGGTCGGCGCGGAGCTCATTGCCGCGGACCCGCCCGAGCAGTTCCTGGTGAACTTCCAGCCGGAGATGTGGAGCGATGGCGGGCCGTCGCAGGTCGGGGGGTGGCTCGGAGAATACATCGCCGTGTGCATGGTGGCATCGCGTGTTCGCCGCCGCCGCAGGCTGCAATGCATCGGTTGCACCACTGCAGTCAGCTCGCATAGTGAGGACGAGCAACTTTCCAAGGTTACCCCTGCATCCTTCCCCTTCGGCCCATCCTTGGCCGCTTTCGCTGGCCGCGCCCTGCTCGCAACGTGTCGACATGACCTTCCAAGGCCCTTGCATCCTTATCGTGCGTCCTTGTTCTACGGGTTGACTGTAGATTCCGCACCAGACACCCCGCGGACCACCGAGTTGAGGCTCTGCCCGCATTCCACAAGGAGGCTGCGCCACAGGTTGTGCCTGCCAAAGGTTGCGCCAGGCCCCCCGTGGGCCGCCAGATCGCAGCAATTCCCGCCGCGCTCATACGTTCCGTAAGTTGCGCCAGAGGTTGCGTCAGACCCGTTCCGCGGACCGCCAAATCGCGATTTCCCCAGCCTGTCTACGCAAGGTTGCCCCACAGACTGCCAGGCAGCCCGTGGGGCCGAGTCGCCGGTATCTTCGGTTTGCCCATACCCCATATGTTGCGCCACCAGGGCGAGGAGGAGAAGGAGGAGGCGGAGGAGGAGGAGGAGGAGGAGGAGGGGGAGGAGGAGAAGGAGGAAGCGGAGGAGGAGGAGGAGGAGGAGGAGCAGAAGGAGGATAATGATGAGTAGGATGAAGCAAAAGTACGACGAAGACGAGGAGAAAGAGGAGGAGAAGGAGCAGGAGGAGGAGAAGGAGCAGGAGGAGGAGGAGGCGGAGGAGAAGGAGGAGCAGGGGGACGGGGTCGGGGAGGGCGAGGAGTTGACGGAGGAAGAGGATGAGCCGGGGCGGAAGGAGCAGGGGGAGGACAAAGAGGAGGAGGAGGAGGAGGAGGAGGAGGAGGAGGAGGAGGAGGAGGAGGAGGAGGAGGAGGAGAAGGAGGAGGAGGAGGAGGAGAGGGAGGAGGAGGAGAAGCAGATGCAGGAGCAGGAGGACGAAGAAGAGAAGGAGAAGGAGGAGAAGGAGGAGGAGGAGGAGGAGGAGCAGGAGAAGCAGGAGGAGGGGAACGTGGACGAGGAGGATGAGGGGAGGAGGGGGCTCTTCCTCCTCGCTTCGCTGGTGCGGCAGCGCGCGCGTCAATGTCACACGTGCTTAAAGATTGAGTCGAACTACGCACAAATGCAATTGCTCCAACGGGTCCGAACCTCAGCATTGGTCTTTTTGCAACGCGAGGCCTCAAGGCGCTCGGCACGGACCATCCAACCCATGCTTCGGCCATCTGTTGGGCCAGTCGATCTTGCCCAAAGGCTGCAAGCGACCCCACGCACGCACACACACACACACTCACACACAGTTTTTCTGTCGGCGGCAGCCGGGTGGGTGTCACCTCAGCGTGTATTAGGGCGGGCCACGCCTTGTTGAATTACCACCTGGCCTTGCAGATGGGAGGTCAGGACGTGGTTGACGCATGCAGTACAACAACCGCCGAAGCGGATGCACGTGGAAGATGCTGGAGGAAAAGCAAGCTGGTGGGGGCGGGGCCACACGCGCAGATGCAGGAGAAGGAGCTCGCACGATCCCCATCGTGCACTCACACATGTTCGGTCAGCAGCCATGTGCACAGCAACATGGCAGTCACCGTCGGTGCTGAACCCAGAGGAACGTGAGCGCACACATACGCACACATACGCGCTTCCTTCCTACGCGCCAATGAGGTTCAACTGGCGGTATCATCACCCAGGCATCCGGCCGCTCCAATTTTTGCCATGCGTGGGCCCTGGAGGTCCAGACCGCTTCCCCGGGGCTGGTGTTTCGTCCCCTGTCGTGTTGTTACGTTCCCGAGGCCCGGCGAGGGCCCCCGGAGGCCAAAGACCGCCAAAGTCCCGCAGCTGCGATGTTGCTGGAGCGTCGGACCTTTGGGCAACCACGGGCAGCGGCATGGCAACCGTTCCCCGTTCCGTGGGGGTGCGGCAGATGCCGGCGAGCTCTCCGCGCGAGGCGGGCCGCGCGGGCCGCGGGGCAGAGAGAGCGGGGCGAGCGCAGGCCCTGAGGCGGAGGCGGCAGCCAGGGGGAGGAAGGGCCGCGGGACCCAGCTTGGGAGTTTGCCCTTTCGTAGCCTTGCTACGCTGCCTCTTCGAGTCCGCAGTCGGGTTGCGGCAGGGTTTTTGTTTCGCCCCGCAGGTATAACGCGCAAGACGTGCAGATACCGACTCTGCTGCCCGCCAACACAGGTTGATCACCATCTTGATGCATCGAGGTCATGCAGCTGTACAAGCAGCCTGAGCTCGGGATCCACCAGGGGCGACTCAGAAAAGCCCATGTTGACCGACGCTACGGCGGATCGCAAACCAAGAGACTAAGCCCAGGGAGAGGGTTCACGGGGAGGAGTACACGCAGGGGTCTGATCGCCATCTGGCCAATCCCTGCATGCCCGCGCTTGACCTTCGGCCCCGCGGGACGCTGCTGCGAGGCGCGCTGATCGGGGCATCCTCGCAGCCGAAGCCAAGGCGATGGCTGGCGCCACAAACTCTGTTTCCGGCGCCGCTCCAGCGGTCGAGTTCCCTTCGCCATTGGCCGATTCTGTGAGCGATGGCGGCAGCCCCGGGCTAAAGCTCTGTCCTGCCTCAGCGCCTTGCTTTTGCGCCGACCAGCTGCCCGCCCCGCCCGCCCGCATTCATGGCTCCGCAGGGTCTCTGGCAGCAACGGCCGTAGGAACGGGCGGCGCCCCGCCCCATGCTTCGCGAATGAGTCGGCCGATTCGTTCGCGGAACGCTCCAGAGCCGTGGCGCGCAGCGTGGCTTCGTCGCCGAGCATTCGCAACACGCGTTGCCACAAGTGTTCGTTTCCGCTTCGCCTTCCTCATAAATATCTTCCTCCTGCTGTGCCTCATCATCCTCATCATCAGCAGCATGCATCATCGTCATCAGCATCATCTTCATCATCACCATCATCATCAGCATCATCAACATCATCATCACCATCATCATCAACACTATCATCACCATCACCATCATAATAATCATCATCATCATCATCATCATCATCATCATCATCATCATCATGACCGTCAACGTCACCATTACCATCATCGCCATCACCATCGTCAGCATCATCATCATCATCATCATCATCATCATCATCATCATCATCATCATCATCAGCAACATCATCATAATCATCATCATCGTCATCATCAGCAGCATCTTCATCATCATCATTACCATCATCACCATCATCCTCATCATCAGCATCATCACCATCATCATCATCATCATCATCAACACCACGACCATCATAACCACCATTATCATCATCGTCACAAATATCAGCATCATCATCAACAGCATCAGCATCGGCATCATCAGCGTCATCAGTTTCATGATCATCATCATCATCATCATCATCATCATTGCTATCGTCACTGGCATTATCATCATCATTACTATCATCGTCACCATCGTCACCATTATTATCAGCATCAGCATCATCATAATCAGCATCCTCATCGTCATCATCAACATCACCATCATCGCCATCACCATTATCAGCAACAGCATCAGCATCCTTATCATCAGCATCATCAGCATCATCATCATCGTCATCGTTATCACCACCACTAGCATCATCGTCATCGTCACCATCATCAGCATCGTCACCATCATCACCAGCATCAGCAACAGCAGCATTATCAGCATCATCCTCATCATCGTCATCGTTATCACCACCACTATCATCATCTTCTTCTTCATCATCATCGTCACCATCATCATCAGCATCGTCACTATCACCATCATCAGCAACAGCAGCATTGTCATCATCACCATCGTCATCATCAGCAGCATGATAAGCATCATCACCACTAGCACCAGCACCATCATCATCAGCAGCAATAGCAGCATCATCATAATGCCTACGGGCTGTTTCGCCGCTCGGACGCCATCGACGAAGTCTTTGAGCATTTCCCAGGAATTGCCGACATGGTCAAGTCGCAGTGGCAAGCTGACGGGTGCACATCATTCTGGCAGCGGGTCTGTGGCAAATGGGAGGCTGGAGTTACGCTCCGAGGTGGCTTCCAAGGCCTTCGGCTTGTCACTGTCTTGTTCTGCTGCTCGTTGCGCCAGTCGCTGCGGACAGCGGCCGAGGCAGCCGCGAACGCCATCAGCATCCCGACGCCGGCGTATCCGGAAGATACGTACTTCATCAGGAAGCTCCCCCAGATCTCCGACGCATGGCCGTTTCTTGCCAATGTACTCCGCCAGGCGGGCCACGAGCTGAACTTGACGAAGTCCGAGATATGGCTCCCAGCGTGCGACAGCATCGAGCTCAACGACATCCCAGCTGCACACCGGGGCATCTTTGCGGATCTCCCCAGGGCGACTGGCGGCTTGAAGGTAATGGGAAATGCCGCGCAGGCGTCCTACCAGATTGTTTTAGGCCCCGCCCAGCTGGCGCTCCAAGCGGCGAGCGAGAGATTGAGGAAACCTGAGCTGCTGGGACACCGCCTGCAGTCGTTCCTCGGGGGGTCGGCTGACGCGTGTCGCGCAAGCGTGGCGTGGTGGCTGATGAGCAAGTGCATGAAACAGGCCTTGTCGCACGACATCCGCATCCTGCTGGCCAGCGACCTGAGCCCGTTGTTGGAACGCCTGGCCACCGCCCTGCGCGAAGCCGCGACGGCCATCGTGGGAAGAGCCGTTGACGATACAGCATGGGCGCGGTTGCAGCTGCTGGGTGAGCACCCGAGCCATCTGGGTGAGCACCCGAGCCGCGGTCCAGGCGGCCTGCGCGGCGCCTAGGGCGCCCTGCGCGCTGTGACGTGGCTGCGCTCCACGCGCGCGCAGCCGCCGCCCGGCAAGCAGCGTGGGGTGGAACTCAGCGTCTTGACGGCGCCGTGGCCCTCACAGCCCAGGGGCGACTACGCGAAGCTGGCCCACTGCGCGAAGACGCGCCAACCTGCGGATCTGGGAGGTCACTGCGTTCCACCCGTCGGCCTTCTCAGCAGAGACTGGCCAGGCCTGCCGACTGCACAGCCGCATGCTCCGTGCACTCGAAGCCCTACGAGCGACGCGCACTTTTCGGGCTCCGGAGTCCGACTTTCTGTGCGAAGTCTTCCTGTCCAGTGGCGGGCCACATCATGGGAAGATGTGGGTGCAGCCGCCACGCTGCGCGGCCGAATGCATGGATGACGCCCACTTTCGTATGGCGCTCCAGCTCCGCCTCGGGATCGTGGAAGCCCCTCCTGCTGCAGTCTGCCAGATTCCCTGGTCTGGGCAGGGAGCTGACCCGTGCCTCCATCAGCTCGAAGATCCGCTGGTGCACCCGCACGAGTGCAAGTGCGGGCCTGCGGCCTCACCGGTCCCGGCGGGAAGTTCTGCCGCAGCTTCGGCGGTCCACAGCGGGTGCTTCGCAGGCGCGAAGCGCGCCGTGCCGAAACTGTACAGCAGCACTCAAGAAGGTGTCGCAATCGAGGCGGTCCTGGACGTTGCCCTGAGGCCTTATATCATGCTTCTTCGACATGGCGGAGCGGTGCCCGCACAAGCGTCCGCAACGATCAAGGCTGCCGCGCAGCTGCGGCCCGTGTTGCGGTGGCGGCGGCCGACGGGGAGCTTGAGAATCTGACGCGGTTCGGAAGCCGGGTCTCGGCCCTCTCCTTCGAGACCTGCGGCAGGCTCGGTGCTGCCAGCCAGGCGAACATCCGCCACGCGGCCTACGTCGCGGCCTCGCGGTGTGGCGCGGTGGCCGCACCGGCGCAGAGCTGTGCGCGCAGTGGCGGCTGGCGCTGGAGCGGGCCTTGGCTGCCGCCATCGCCGGCGTCACCCTGCTTTCCCTGGGGATGCTCGTCCGGCTTGATGGCCCTGCGAGCCCAGCGACGGCGGCCTGCAGATCCGCTGGCGGCGGCAGAGAGCGGGTGATGCTATGAAGTACGTGATTCACATGGCTCCGACTGTGTGTTTAACTGCTGCTGATCAGCACCATCATCATCAGCATCATCATCACTTTCCCCCTCCGCCCCTCCTTCCCCAAATGTTCGTCATCCTCCTCCTCCTCCTCCTCCTCCTCCTCCTCCTCCTCCTCCTCCGTCTCCTCCTCCTCTGCCTCCTCTTCCGCTGTAGGGCGGACCCGTTCACATGATGGACGCTTCATCCACTTCCTCCATCGCCTGCTCCTCCGCTCCGTCTCCCCGTTATCCTCCTCCTCGTCTTCTTCCTCATCGTCCTCCTCTATCCATCGCTTCAATTTTTCTGCCCCATGTGTTATCCTCTTCGCCCTCCCCCCCTTCCCCTCCTATTCCCCCCCTCCTCTTCCTCCTCCTCGCTTTGCGAATTCATTGTTTCCGTGTCCATGTTCCTCCTCATTCCCCGCCTCCGCAGGGCGGACTCGTGCACGTCATGGACGCCCTCTGGTCTTCCGGCGGCCAGAAGGCGCTCACGGACGCGCTGACGCAGGAGTTGTCGGCCTTGGCCGCCATGGCCCCGACGGGGTATCGAACGCCACAGCTCCCCGTTTCCACCCTCCCCCACCGCCACCGCCACCTCCTCATCCTCCTCCACCTGCCCGTCCTCCATCCACCGCCTCGTCCTTCGCCTCCTCCTCCTCCTCCTCCTCCTCCTCCTCCTCCTCTTCCTCCTCCTCCTCCTCCTCCTCCTCCTCCTCCTCCATGACTTCTCCTTCTCTTCCTCCTCCTTCTACCCCATCTGTCTCCAGCGCCGCCTCCTTATCCGTCTTTTATCCTCCTTCTCTTCGTCATAATTCCGCACCAGACCATGCTCGTCCATCGCCTCCTCTTCCGACTCTTATCCTCGGTATTGATATGTCCTGTAGCCTCCCCCTTTATTCCTGTCATGATCAATATCAGATTTCCCCCCCCTCCCCCTCATTCTTCTCTCCCGATCTAATGCTTTGTCCTTCTCCCCCGTCGCCTCCTACTACAAAAGAATAGGTCCTCGTTATGGTTGTCGCACGTCGTCGGACGTGGTCGTCGGTCGTTGTCGTTGGTCGTTCGTACACGTCGCCGTCGCCGTCGTCGTCAACGTCGTCAACGCCCCAGGAGCCCACGAAAGTGGCGACAGCTGCGCAGTTTGCAGCCCCCCAGCTCTGCTGGACCTCCCGGGACCCCACGAAAGTCGCGACCGCTGCGCAGCTCCCGGCCGCCCATGGGAGCCGTGAGGTTTCACAAAGGGCGCGCGTGGCCCCGGCCCCGCTGGGACCTCCCAGAGGCCCACGACAGTGGCGACGGTTCCGCAAGCCGCCGCCCAGGGAGCAGCCAGGTCTCGAATGGGTGCGCGTGGCCCCCGGGAGGAGGAGGAGGAGGAGGAGGAGGAGGAGGAGTACGAAGGGAGAGGAGGAAGACGCAGGAGCAAGAGGAGGAGGAGGAGGAGAGGGAGGGAGAGGAAGAAGAGATGGAGGAGGAAGAGGTTTTCATTTCTCTTTCTCTCTCTCTCTCTCTTTCTCTCTCTCTCCCTCTCTCTCTCTCTCACCTCTCACGCACCATCGAACACAATCCCCACACCAGGCCCCGCTGGACCTCCCAGGAGCCCACGAGAGCGACGACGGTTGCACAGTTAGCAGACACCCAAGGGCCCAGGGAGCCGCGAGGTCTCAAGTGGGTGCGCGTGCCCCTCCGACCCCGCTGGACCACTCAGGCCCGCGAAAGTGGCGACAGCTTCGCAGTTCGCAGCGACCCATGAATACCTCCGCGTGGCCCCCGACTCCGTTGGACCTCCCAGGAGCCCACGAAACTTGCGACAGTTGCGCAGCCCGCTGCCCGCAGGGAGCAGCGAGATCTCAAGTGGGTGCGTGTGGCTCCCAACCCGCGGGACCTCCCGGGGCCCACGAAAGTGGCGACAGTTGCGCAATTCGCAGACACTCAGGGAGCAGCCAGATCTTGAATGGGTGCGCGTGGCCCCCGACTCCACCGGACCTCCCAGAAGCCCGCGCGCGAACGCGGCGACAGTTGCGCAGCTCGCAGCGGCTCAGGGGGCAGCGAGGTCTCAAATGGATGAGCGTGGCCCCCGACTCCGCTGGACCTCCCAGGAGCCCATGAAAGTGGCGACAGCTGCGCAGTTCGCATTTTCCAAGGGGGCAGCGAGGTCTCAAATGCGCACGCGTAGCCCCCGACAGCCGTGCCCCCCAGGGAGCCCACGAGAGTGGCGACAGTTGCGCATTTCGCGGCCTCCCAGGAAGCAGCGAGGTCTCAAATGGGTACGGGTGACCCCCGACCCCGCCGTGCTTCCGACAGTTGCGCAGTTCGCAGCCTCCCATGGAGCAGCGCACGAGGAGGGCGGAGGCAGGAAGGGGAGAGGAGGAGGAGGGGGAGGAGGAGTCGCGACCGCAGTGTTATTATAACCCAACACATGAGGGTCGGGGAAAAATCCGGAGGGTTGGGAAACATCAAGCCTCGATTGAACCCCTGTCGTCTTCGGAATGATGGGGTCGACGTTGATTGGAAACGCACTAGTCCCTGCCAGATATTGCAGCCCCGGAGAGGCCAACCCACCCACCCGAGTCGAGAATCAAATCTCCTCATCATCATCCTCCTTCTCCTTCCCCATCCTTTTACTTTTCTTCGATTCGAGGCGTCTGGTTGCCTAATTTCGCTCCTCCTCTTGGATCCTACTGGCTCCGCTGGTGTCCGTTGCCGCCGTGCGATGAGGCACCCGAACAAAAAAACAGTGCGAAAGGCAAGGAACAGAAAGTCAGTGGGCTCAGGGGGGGGGTGGAGGTCCACCCCGCCTGCGAGCTCCACCTCAGCGGAGTGGAACGCCCGAGGCTCGCTCCCGAGCTTGGGCCCACTCCGCTCCCGAGCTGCCGCAAACTATCCACTGCATCTCGACTGCGAGGACCCTTCTTACAATTCTTACAACCAGCTCCGAGGACCCGCGGAGCGGGCGGAACCGAGAGCGCCGCAACACGAGCACCGGGCAACCCGCTCACCTTCCCAGCCAGACACGGTGGCTCCTGTGAGCCGCTCTCACAGCCTTCGCTTTGACCGCCGCAGGGCACCAGCGCTAGGTGAAACCTCCATCGCCCGCGCTCTCCGCAGGTCGCACAGTTGTGCTGCGTGCCCGCCGTCTCAATACACAGTGCCCTTCCGGCTTGGGAATTCGCGGCAGGGTCTGCGGCTTGTGCTTTCCAGGCCTCTTAAACTTCGTGGCATCTGGAAAATCTGTCCCAGCAAGGTCGTCCATGACCTCCGCTATCAGCCAGGCTGACTGCTTGACCAGAGCTACATTACGCTTACACTGGGCCTGGATTTGAGGGTTGGTGGGGTGGGCTTGGGCCCCACGCTTAGTGAGCTCGTCGGCCCGCTTGTTATCTCTCCAGGCCCACTCGCTAACACCTTGCCTACCGGCCCAGCCGAGAGATGAACGAGACCTAACATGACTCACAGACACCTCCTCTCTCCCAATTATCTCAGCTCGTCTGAAGATCTCATCCCAAAGCCCCGAGAAATCCACATCATCCAGGTTCTGCGACGGCCTGAACCCCACATGTCTTCGACCAATTCGCAATCCGTGATCAGCTCCAGCCCGCCAGCGCCAGCCAAGCGCAACGGCACCAGGAACGCAATGACCTCTCCAGCACTTGCTGACTGAATGATGTGGGGCAAGGGGCCGAATGCTGAGCCGATGAAGTGCCCGCTTCCAGAGACTGTCACTAGCGCCCATCCTGCACGGGCAAAGTAGGTACACTCCTGATCGAAACCCGACCCTTCATCGCACACTCTTCTGGCAAACGCTCCATTCGGTGGCACAATATCGCACCGAAGTCCTGACTGCTGCTATGGAGTCGGCCATGCCCCTTCCGCGTGCGGGAGCAGCGCCCCCGTGCGGAGCGCCATGGCGCACTCCTGGAACAGCGTGTGTGCCCAGGAGGTCCTGGACATAGAGATCTCGCCTCGCTGGCTGATGAGCCGGGCAGCGAAAAACGATGGAGAGGCGTCCCACTCGCGTGTTGGCACGGGTGGCACATGTTGTCTACACCCTGGGCGGTGCTTAAGAAAACTTAAGTGTTCGGCCAGCGTCTCGATGATTCTTAACGTTCCAATGTAAGTCCTAAGGTTTTAAGAGAAATTCTGGGTCGTTATTCAAATTCTGAGACTCTGAATTTCTTAACCCATGATTTCTTCAGCATTTCGCAGGGTGTACCACTCGTCGGTCAGGGAATAGGGTGTCCTGGGTCGGGTATCCCCCCGCAACCACAGCTGCGAGACCTGCCGCCGCCTGCCGCCGTCCCTTAGCACGTGAGGTCTTGAGCACCTCGATCACAGGATCGAGCAAGGGCCCATCATCGAGACCGCCGATCCGACCGTCGCCGAGAACCAGGATCAGGCGTTCACGAACAACCCCCTCGAGGACCATCTTGAGCGACCGACCTCTCAGGTAAGTCGCATCGATCTGCATGCCAGTGAAGAGATCTCAGGCCTTCCTCTCTCAAGGGTCAGCCCTCAGGAGATGCCCTTACGTCGAGGCTTGCAGCCAGCCTCAGGCCGAGGCTTGCCGTGTTGCTGTGCGCACCTCCTCCCTCCCCCTTCCTCCTTGCACGTGCTCCGCGAATAGGCCGGCAGCGCCGATTGCATCTGGGAGGCCGGCCGGCTGGCACTCTCAGGAAGGAGGAGGAGGAGGAGGAGGAGGAGGAGGAGGAGGAGGAGGAGGAGGAGGAGGAGGAGCAGGAGGAGGAGGAGAGGAGGAGGGAGGAGGAGGAGGAGGAGGAGGGGGAGGGGAAGGGGGAGGGGGAGGGGGAGGGGGGAAAAACACACACAGACACAATGAATCGTCGATTTCTCAGAAACTATGGGGAAAGTATGGGAAGTGTGGGGGGAAGACAAAAACCCAGAAAAAATGTGGGAAAATAGGGGGCCCCCTCACACTGGGCCGCTCGACCAAGGCACGGGCCGCGCCTCTCCGAGGATCCAGGTGTTGCTTCGATGTGCGAGTCCTTTCTGCACCGCGCCACTGTCTTCGCTGTGCGTTCGATTTCGCGTGTTGCTCCTCCTCCTTCCTCCTCCTTCTCCTCCTCCTCCTCCTCCTTCCTCCTCCTTCTCCTGGGTCCCTTTCCTCCTCCTCCTCCTCCTCCTCCGCTCCCCTCTCTCATTTAGTGTGTGTGTGTGTCAGGATTTTCAGTTTACGTGGTCGTTCACGGAGCTTGGTCTCCGATCTTGCAGGGCAGAGAAAGATCAACCACGCTTTGCGGCCGCCATGGTGTGCGATACCGCCCTGTTTCAAACGAGACGTGAGTGCGTGCGCCCAGCGCCCATCCCGCAACATGTTGTCTTACTCGCGTCCTCCTCCCCCTCCTCCTCCTCCTCCTCCTCCTCCCCCTCTCTCTCTCACTCTCGAGCTTCAGGCGATTGGTTCAAGCAACCTCCCCCAAAACAAAAAAAAAAAAAAAAAGTGCAGAGCAGAGGGAGAGACGACGACGACAGTCAAAGAATCCTCCCCAGCTCCCCGACGGGAGCGTCCACGGCGCCGCGCGGGTCCGCCCCCCCGAATCCCAGTGCGCGCGCGGCGGCAGTACAGCAAGCGACGAGAGACACTCAGGAGGGGAAACATGATGGACCCACGAACCCGGAAAGGGATATAGAACCGCATGCATGGAAACGTTTTCACGACACCGTATTGGGCGACGGGCACTTCCACGAGACACCCCGCGAAACATTCCACGAGACACGGGCGACCGTTTTCAACGTTTTCCTGGAAACATTCCACGAGACACCCCGCGAAACAGTCCACGAGACACCCCACGAAACATTCCACGACGACAGGCAACCACTCAACCAAGGCGGTGTGGTCGTGCTGGGGAGTGGTCGTGCTGGGGTGTGGTCGTGCTGGGGGGTGGTCGTGCTGGGGGGTGGTCGTGCTGGGGGGGTAGTCGTGCTGGGGGGTGGTCGTGCTCGTGGTCGTGCTGGGGCGTGGTCGTGCTGGGGCGTGGTCGTGCTGGGGCGTGGTCGTGCTGGGGTGTGGTCGTGCTGTGGTGAGGTCGTGCTGGGGTGTGGTCGTGCTGGGTGATGGTCTTGCTGGGGTGGGGTCGTGCTGGGGTGGGGTAATGCTGGGGTGTGGTCGTGCTGGGGTTTGGTCGTGCTGGGGTGGGGTCGTGCTGGGGTGGGGTCGTGCTGGGGTGTGGTCGTGCTGGGGTGTGGTCGTGCTGGGGTGTGGTCGTGCTGGGGTGTGGTCGTGCTGGGGTGAGGAGGAGGAGGAGGAAGAGGAGGAGGAGGAGGAGGAGGAGGAAGAGGAAGAGCACCTTCGAGTGGCCCGCACCCTGTGATTTATCGATCGGGATCTCAAAAACAAGCGTTTCGCCTGAGACATCCTCAAATTTTAATCCGCCGGCCCACCTCGACCTCGATATTCATCAGGGAAAGAATCCGCCGGCCCACCTCAGTTGAGGCACCGGGGACAGGTTTACAAACTAAAAGAGAACCCTGGGCTTACGCCCTTTCCGGGGAAAACACACAGACACAATTAATCATCGATTCCCCAGGAAATATGGGAAAATATGGGAAGTGGGAAAAGATGGGGAATCCTGTTATTTGTGTGTATTTATTTGTGTGTCCCATGGCCCCTTGAAACAAGGAGCGATGATGGCAATTCCCCACTCGGACATTCTCCCTCGTCCCCACTCTGGCCAGGACTTCCTTTGGGCAGGTACCCGCAGGCCTACTAAGATTCTTTAAAGTATGCAAAACGGCAGCACCCATGGCGGCCCACCTGGTAGGGGTGGACTTCCAATGGGACGGAAGGGGGCTGGGGAATGGCACGATGGGTGACAAGGACAGGAGTGTGGAAATGGACAGCCGCATTCACCAGACATTCAGTCAGCTTCCACAGACGACTTCCCTCCGAAGCAAGAACTTGTTCACAAGGAGTGAGAGCGGCGGTCCCATGAGGATGGCTCATCGATCTGAGGGGTCGCATCATAACCCCCTCACCATCATTACAGTAACGCTTCGGGCCCCAAGAAGTCTCAGGGGGGGCACAATATCCCAAACACTCTCTGATTCTTCACACGGTGGTACCACTTCCGAGCACACCTGGCCTCGTCACTAATAAGGCGGACCACTTGAGCACTAGACTCCTGGGCTCGAAAGGTAGACTGCAGGATAAACTGCATTCGGGAAGGGCGGGCGCCACATCAAAAGCCAAGACGGTTCACAAGAATCCGACTCGTCGTACTTCCAACGCGAGGAGGAAGGGTGAAGGAGGGTCCATATTCTGGTCGATCGGGATGGACACGGAGAGCAACGGCTCAATGGCAACATCACTCATTTCTCTATGGGTGATCGGGGGCCGCAGGTGCGTTTGTGAGACGATCGGGCAGCAAACTTGTCTTGGAGGCCTTTGGCACGATTCGCCTTTTGCTGCTGTCTGGTCTGGTCGCGACAACAGGCCTCGATCGGACCGCAGGTGATTCCGCTGCGGACCCAAGCGTGGAGGCAACGAGGAACGCGACGAAGATGTTCAACCAGACGAGACCTCTCATGAAATTCGGTCAGGCACACTTGACAAAAGGGAACCGTCAATGCACTGCCCAAGATCATGAAAGTTAGAGTGTATGATCGTGTTGTGGGCACGGAGGGCTTCAACAGACTTGCTATCAAATCCGCTTTCGTAAGAAAAAAGGCATTGAGATTCAGCATGAGCATTCGAAACAGGACATCCCTCGTTCAGATCCGAGGTGCGACCTCGACTAAGCTCCTCGAGGTCTCGGAGGTGAGCCTTGTGCTCATACTCCTCCATTTGAATGTATAAAGCTCGCTGCGCAGCAGAGGCAAAAAGGGTCTTGAAAATTTGAGGGGCGCATCTGACCATGGCAATCCAATCCTCGATACTTCCGCTGCGGGGGACCCCCTTTTTTCGAGACATATTGGTGGGCCACCTCCAGGCAGCAGTAATTCCCTGGGCCCAGGTGCCAACAACAGGGGCAAGCACATTAAGGGCAGAAATCAGGGAAGGTGAGCCGCGCTGTTAAATGCGCGGGAGAAAACGAAGGCGGGCAACAAGAAGAACAACATCCAACGACAGACGGGCACGCCAAAGGACTTCCTCCCGGGCATGATTCACGCCGTCTCTATGGGGGGGGGTAGCCATGGCCGCGCGGCACGCGTCCGTCTGCGCGCTTCGCATTCGCTTAGCTTGGCCGTCAGTCAAGGGATCCCAAGCACAAATGCTGCACATGAGCTTGGACGACGCATAGCTTTCAGCACAGTTGACCTTGCTCTTGTCCGGGGGCGCCCGCCCGGGCGCAAGGGCTGCGCGAACAGGTTTGAGCGCAGGCCGCATTCTTATAATTATGTGCGCAATCTCTCGGGTATGAGACAACTTGTCAGACTGGATCGAACCTGAAAGCATGTGCTGGCGAGCAACCTGAACGCCCGCGCTGCGTTCGTCAGACGCCACGTGCCCCCCCCCATCCCATCTGTTAGCAACCCCAAAAAGTTGTCGCGCAGCGCGACGAGCGCGCTCCCCGGAGGGGCGCGTCATGAGGACCGTCTCGGAAGCATTCATGCGCAACACTTGCGAGGGCGCATGTTCACAAGTAATGTCAAGCATCCTGGCAGCAATCACAGTGGCAAGAGAAGCATTTTCGCGCGCGCCAATCGAAGTCAAATCACCAACGCACGCGGTGGACGCACGGCAGAGGTCGCCCTCCAGCAACTTGGATAGCGGGAGCCTCGGTGGCGTAGCTCCTTGCGCCCCCACCACTCAGGATTGCAGCCGACCGGCTACCTTCTTGTACTCCTTGTCGGCTTGGTCCATTTCCGCGGTGGGAGTCGAGACCACCTCCGTTTGCTCAGCCAGTTTGTTCCGGCACCCTTCGTACGTGGGGCCAGGCCAGGCGGGGCGTGGTATACTCAGGCGGATCGTCCTTGGCTGGCTCGGTCCATGATTTCTTGCAGCGCTTGCACCAGCACTGCTTCCAAGGCGTCTTCTTGCCCCGCGGTGCATGCAGCGCCTCGTGTTGACACCCGTGCCTGCGGGCTTGCTGCTGCCTCCGTCGTATCGGCCCTTGCCAGCACCAGCCGTGCATCTGCCACGAATTCTCTCACGCCGCCATCGCTGAGACTGCAAGGGCGGCCGCGGGCCGCGAGGGATTCGTAACAGAAGGATGAGCCCAACGACGACCAGACGTCGCGAGCCGAAAGGGAACGGAGACGTGGTCGGCAGTGGCGTTGCCCGAAAGGGGCCCCCCTGGAGCCCTCGCCTTGTGCCAGAACGGCTTGAGCCAAATGGCTGCGGATTCTAATTTCGCTTCTCCTACTCCTCCTCCTCCTCCTCCTCCTCCTCCTCCTCCTCCTCCTCCTCCTCCTCCTCCTCCTCTTCCTCCTCCTCCTCCTCCTCCTCCTCCTCCTCCTCCTCCTCCTCCTCCTGCTTCTCCTCCTCCTCCGCCTCCGCCTCCGCCTCGTCCCCATCTCCTGAAAAGGCCAGCCGCGACAACAGCAGCCACACCAGCACCATCCACAACTCGCGGCGCCCCAGCGAGAACGACCCGGCCGCCTGAAGGGCGCCCCTCTCCTCTCCCACACCGTCGTTCACTGCTGGGAGCCGCCGCGTCCTGCCGCCCAGGAGGAGGGAGGAGAAGGAGGGAGGAGGAGGAGGAGGAGGAGGAGGAGGAGGAGGAGCAGGAGGAGCAGGAGGAGGAGCAGGAGCAGGAGTGCGGAGGAGGAGGAGGAGCAGGAGGAGCAGGAGTGCGGAGGAGGAGGAGGAGGAGGAGGAGGAGGAGGAGGAGGAGGAGGGGTAGCAGGAGGAAGACGAGGAGAAAGTAGGAGGATGGGAGAGGAGAGGAACACCAGGTTCTCAACGGTTTTGCAGGTTTTTGGAGTTGTCCGGAAGGTTGCGGAGGTTTCCGACAGGACTCCAGAGACTTCTGGAGGGGACAGAGGGGGGGGGGAAGAGGAGAAGGACCAGAGCAAACCCAGGATACATCAGCGATGTTGCGACGACACGTCTTCCCGTCCTAAGTCCAACTTTTTTCCGTTACTGGAAGTGCCCCATTGAAAGACGAGCGCCAAATGGGCTTGCAGTTCAGGCGAGGGGGTTGCTTTGAAGAGGAACCCGCTGTCGCACCCAGCAGTTGCGGAGAAGAGTGAGGGGGCGGGCGCGGGGTGGATCGCGGGTGGGTCACGGGCGGGTCACGGGCGGGTCGCGGGTGGGTCGCGGGGTGGGTCGCGGGTGGGTCGCGGGGTGGGTCCCGGGTGGGTCGCGAGGTGGGTCGCGCGTGGGTCGCGGGCGCGTCGCGGATTTGTCGCGGGTGGGTCGCGGGTGGGTCCCGGGCGGGTCGCGGGCGGGTCGCGGGCCGGGTCGCGAGTGGGACGACGACAGCAACAACATACATTGTAAGTTTCTTCACTCTTATGCGTTTGCGTTCCATGAAACGCGTAAATCCCAAACCCTCGATACCCGCCCTCTTCGTCTTCGATCGTACCCCCCTTGGGGTATATCTTCCCTACCAGCCGCGTGTAGTTAGCGCAACCGCTAGAACAGGTGAAGGGAGGGAGGAGGGAAGAGGCAAGGGGGATGTAGAAGGATGAAACACGAGAGAGATTTGCAGGAGGAGGCTCAAGAGCAGGAGCACAAACGGCAGAACCACACGGCCGGGTCGGGCGGGCGGAACTTAACGGCCAGGTCGGGCGGACGGGCGCAGACGGCTGGGTCGAGCGAGCGGGTGGCCGAAGCGTCAATCCCACATGAATCGCAAGGAGGCTTCGAGCAGCGAGATCGCGATTCCAAGTAAACCGTGAGGAAGTCCAAAGCGCGAGCGTGATTCCCAAGTATCGAGGCGTGGCGTCTGAATAGATTGCAAGGAAGTCCCAAGCGAGAGTGCGGTTCCCGACTATACTTCAACGGAGTCTTCGAGCGAAAGCGCAATTTCTCAAGACATTGGGGAAGTATCAGGCGGGAGCCGCTGCTGTTGTAAACCAGGGTGCCACAACCCAGGTTGGTGACACCAGATTTTCTCTGTTAAAAAACAGGGTGCGAGCCCCCGGAGGGGCACATCAATTGAATTAAATAATGGTCACAGGAGGGGGGATCAACAACAATGGTTCTTCAGAAATGAAAACTCAATCAGTCTTGAGGCTATCTTGGTCGTCTTCGAGGACTCCTGTGCGTATTGGAAACCTGCTTGCGCAAGAGTAGAGCGATTCTTAGACATCGTGGAGGCCACGGAGTGTAGAACTGGAGGCTCTGGAGGCCCCAGGGGAGCGTTGATGAGCCGGGCCACCCCCCAGGTGCCGCCCCGTGGACCCCTTGCCCAACCCCATCTAACAGGATTTCAAGTCCCAGAGGAGGGGGAAAGGAGGATAGCCAATCGTTTCACACGTCTTCCCACCCTCGGCAATAAGGAATCGGCGGATGTATATGAGGCGTTCCAGAAAGGGCCTTGCCTTCGAGGTTCGAAGGAGTTGCCCTCTCTTCCTCGGCAAGCCGGCGGAAGACGGCGGAAGTAAAACGACGCCGCTTCCGCCAGCGGAGGTTGGCGGAAGCCGGCGGAAGTAGAAAATGCTTCCCCAAGAGATGACATCATTTTTAGGTTCAGTGTTTCTGAAATCGACTACACACATGTGTACATGTGTATTTATATATAAGTAGTATATGCGTGTGTGTGTGTGTGGTGAGCGCCAGTTGTATAGATCTATGTGTATGTACAAATCTGCAAATTCACATATATACATAAACATCAGACATGCATTACTAGCATGTATGTAAACATGTACGTATGAACCCGTATGTCTATATAGTATCGTGGCCTTCGGCCTATTCCGCCATCGTGCCCAGGTTGTATGTCAGAGGCACATTGGATGCCTACGGGCATCTCTCGGGAGGCCTCTCGAGAGTCTCTTGGATGCAGTTTTGTTGTGTTGTTGGAGCTTTTCGGGGGTTGGGCGTTTCTCGGGAGCCTGCTGGCGGTCTCGGGGGTCGCTTTGGGGAGGAGCGCTCGGAATGTCAGTTCGTGTTGCGTGTCTTGGGTCCCTCTTAGGGCCCTCTTGGGCCGTCTTGGGGGCCTCTTGGGACTGTCTTGGAGCCCCCCTGGGCCGTCTGGGGGCCCACTTGGGGGCCTCTTGGGCCGTCTTGGAGAGTCGGAAATCCGAAACGGCGAGAACGCTCAAATCTTTCAAACACCAATGTGAATCAATCAATTTTGCCTCAGGGGGTCCTCTTGAGCGGCCTGGTGGAGCCCTCGTGCATCGTTGTGGGAGCCTCTTGGGCCACCTGGAGGCCATCTGGACCGCCTTGGAGCGACATCTTGACGATTCGGGGGCCCCCTTGGACCATATTGGGGGCCTCTTGGGGCCGTCTTGGCCCGTTGGGCGGCCCTCTTGGTCCCGAAAAAAACACGCGACAATGCGCATGGACACTCGGGAAGCCCCAGAAGGCACGCGGGACGCCCCATGAAATCCTGGAAATTGGGGCTCGTGCATGTTAATGTTGTTCATTCGTTCAGGACAGAGGGCGGGGACCTCCAGGAACCTGATGGCACTCCACTTCGTGCCCGAGTGCGACTATATTATGTATATATATATATATATATATATATACATACATACATACATACATACATACATACATACATACATACATACATACATACATACATACATACATACAGATGTAGGCCTGCATGCACATACACATACATATATGTGTACGTGTACACATGTGTCGTGAGATCATACGTTCTAGACAGAACAACTGTACGGCGAGCGCCCCGGTGCCAAGAACTGCCTCCGTCCGAGCACCTCCATATTGAGAACGTGCCGCTCTCCATCCATCCGCGCGACAATTCCACATGTGTAAACTTCTGGCCATGAAGCCTGGGAGTGCTCCAGTATTCAAAGGGGGCGCCCCCCATCCGCGTGATTGTTGCATGTTTCGCAACGTAATTGCGCGCGGCGTAAAGGCAAGAGCTACATTTCGAGGACTGTCAACGCTAAATCCGTGCAGCTGTTCGAATCTGCTTCAGACGAAGCCTCGCGGCGCTTCCGCGAAAGCCACAGTTTGAAAATGCCCCGCCCTCCATCGGGGCAGCTGGTAGAAACGTTTCAGACGAATCACCTCGCCGTACCGACACATCGAGCGGTGCGACGAGGAGCTGTTACTTATAGGCGAGAAGGATGGAGAAGGGAGATAATGGAGGAGGGAGAAGGAGGGACGAAGGAGGGGAAGAGCAATGGGAAGGAGGGGGAAGGAAGAGGAGGGGGAGGGATGGTGAGGAAGAAGGGGGAGGAGGAGGGGCGGGGAGGGAGGAGGGTAAAGGAGGAGGATGGAGAAGGGAGGAGGAGGAAGGGAGAGGAGGAGGAGGAGGAGGAGGAGGAGGAGGAGGAGGAAAAGATGAGTCTGTTTACTGGGCCGTGGCGCCGCGCCCGCCCGGTCCCCCTACGATCAAAATGCTCGCCCTTGAGCCCCCCGACTCCGGAGCCCGCCCGGTCGGGGCGCTGCCTTTTTTCCGGTCCGGCGCCGGCTCCCTCTATATGCGTGCCGGCCTCGGGCTGAAGCCGTTGTACAGCGCGGGCCCATTGGGGGGGGGTAAGGGCACGAGGAGGGAGGAGGAGGAGGAGGAGGAGGAGGAGGAGGAGGAGGAGGAGGAGGAGGAGGAGGAGGAGGAGGAGGAGGAGGAGGAGGAGGGAGGAGGAGGAGGAGGGAGGAGGAGGAGGAGGAGGAGGAGGAGGAGGAGGAGGAGGAGGAGGAGGAGGAGGGGGGAGGAGCAGGGGGAGGACGAGGGGGAGGAGGAGGAGGAGCAGGGGGAGGAGGACGGGGAGGACGAGGGGGTTGTTGTTGTGGAGCGACCTAAAGTCAGTGGTAGAGACCTAAGAAACCTCTCCTTCCGAATCCGAGGCCTCCTCGTCCTCGGGATCCTGGGGAGGTCGGCGCGCCGGGGAGGACGGGGGGGACGACGAGGAGGACGAGGAGGAGGACGAGGACGAGGGCAGATCTCCAGCATGCGGAGTCAACCAGCATCGGCTGGCTCTGTCCTGCGGTCTGGGCATCCGGAGGCCCGCTGCGGGCCCGGGGGCCGGCCGAAGCAGCTCAGGGTGATGTCCCAGAGGGCCCACGAGGCAGAGCGCAACATGGCCGCACTCGGGCGGCATCCACAGAAGCAGCCTTCGCTGCCGCTTCTCTCTCTCTCTCTCTCGAATCCGTGCCGCCAGCGCCTGCATGCCAGGAGTGGCGACTAGGCGCGAGCGGGAGGCAGACGGTTTACTGGACTGATGCGCAGTCGCTGCCTCGATAATTGCTTGGGCTGAACGTCTGCACGGCTCCGGCACAAGATCATCATTGTGGTTTATTGTGGACGGAGGCCTTGCTTTATTCTGAACAAGGTCTGAGCACCGCTCTTACCCCGTTTCTTTAAACAGGTTGAGCCCAGCACACCTCTTGGACGAGTAGGCCCCACGTTTATAGCAAAACATTAAGGGGTCTTGGTCCTGTTGATCAATCATAGCACATGCAAGAAGGTGTCCCAGCGCTTCGGCATCCTTTAGATGACTGAACGCCGTGGGG